TTCATCTGATACATAACAATGATTTACTACCTTCGATAAGAAAGTGATTTTCATTTAAAGCATCTTTATAAAATTGTATAGTTAAACATGATATAAAAAGGAAAAATTTATTTTAACAAGGTGAAAACATATTAACTAAACTTTCTAAAATAAATAATACATCATAAAATACATTTAAAGAGCTGCTGAAATGAAAACACTCTTATCACTTCATCAACCCTAAATAATTGTCAACTTGCGAAACAGAGAACAAATGAATCAGTATATAAACTTAAATAAAGACTTACACATTAAAATAAGTACCCCTATTAAGATATAGCTTTCAGATTAATGTTTAATTGATAAAGAATATTAGCAGTGAACTTTGCATACTTCATAAATACTATAGCTAAAACAAATCTGTCTCAGTTAACTATGCATTTGTCATATATTCATATAAAATAAGTTTCTTCCCTCATTCACATTATCACTAACTTTGAACTACAACACCCCCAAATTCATAAAGAATTCTCTGCCCAAGATTTCAAAATGAACAATACCCAAATCCTTGACGATTCTTTCATTTTCTTCACTTTTACTGGCACTGTAGTCTGATGAGAACCTTGGTGCCTCCCGCTTTTCCTCGATTATTTTAGATCAACATAGATATATATCACATTAAAAGAGGTAATTTACAAGTTGATACATCGAAAACGGTCATCACAGGTCATCCTTAGCATAACTTATTAATTATTCTCATGAATTATTATTTCAAGTGAAATGTGTTTATAGATAATTCAAACAACAAAAATGAGAAAGAGAAGTATTATAAATATATTCTCGGTTTAAAAGGCAGCTGCTCAGGCCGATTATAAAACACATAAATAAACTACCAACCTTTTTCCCCGTACCACATGTCACAAGCAGTTTGCCGGAGAATACTGAGGTTATAGAAACCTTCCCTTCCCCCCCTCACTTAAATATCAAAAATCCCGCCTATTCCACTCAATATGTGTGTGTTCTTTCCGTCATATTGCATCAGTATTGAGAAAGGATTCATGCCATCAGAAAAAACCTGCCAATTTGTTCATGTGACCTTCTACACCACTCTCACCTTCAACACAGCTAATTTTATATTTTTCCTTTCTAACTCAAATAATCAAACAGATATTTAACTGATTTTTATAAATAATGAAAGAATATCTATTTTTGTAACTGATGAAGCATTGTGCTGCTTCTTCCAAATACCTTTAGTGCCAAGAGGCAAGGAAAAATGATAATAAAATAAATAAAAGATATTTAACTGATTTTTCGAAGTAGCTAGTTGACATAGTAAGCGAAGAATAACCTTAGCAGTATATTATATACATTTTTTTAATGCACTATACTACCTATGAAATTGTTGTGATTTAAAATTAAAATTAAATAAATTAAACATTATTGAAAATAATTCATTTTGTAGTTTAAAATGCTTTTTATTCTTGATATCTTCTTTATTAACTGAATTTATTATGAATTCACCGCAATTTACTGCATTATGGTAAATCTCAATAGTTTAGAAAGTCTTTATTGACATTTAGTTATTATATTTATTGAATATAGAACTGACTAACACGTAAAAGATGAATTAATATGCAACATTACTAAAGCCTAAAACTAAATATAAAAATATAACAAACATGAAACAGAAAAAGTCGTTTTAATATTATAACTTATTTCGAGTTGAGATAAACATCCAAATGTAGTAAATTGCAAACCGTCAAAAATTGTTTTCGGAAAATGATTTCTTTATAACTAGAAATCAGTACATATTGGCCAAATAGTGCAGTCTTCATATTTAAAAATCGTTTGTAGATGTTAAAAAGTTAGAGTTTGAATATGTTAAAAAGGATAATAGAAATATTTTTATATTACATCAGTGTCGTAATGATGTGGCTGCACATTATATGTGTAGCCACACCATTACGACTATGATGCAATATAAAAACATCTCTATTATACTTTTTAACATCTACTTTTAACTCTGAAAAAGAATTCCTTATAGTAAGTTTTGAAGATCCGAAATATATTCTCGACAATTCCAAGAATGGAACACATTTTCACGGTTTCAACAGTTGAAATAAAATTTCCCAATTTCAATAGTTAGTGTGAAATTTCAGTTTTAATAGGTGGAACAAAGTTTCCCGAAACTTAAATTTATAAAAAAAAGTCAGGATTTCTTAATTAGGTACAGAAATATTTATTTTTCTCATCACTCTTGGTTTTGAACTTCTCCATATCTATTGGGAATGTTGATACTTTACAACATTTTTTCGATAAAATACCAATTACTTAACTTAAAATGTGTTGGCTTTGTTTTGAAATTTGATTAACTTTATAGTGTAAAATGTTTTATTTTTTGTCGTTCGTTGTTAGGTTCTCAAATTTCCAAACTTTTGAATTTCCAAATATTAGAATAAAGGCGACACTTCCTCTGTTTCCTCTCCGTGTTTAGAATGTTCTTAAATCGTTAATTTTATTTCTCTCTTTGACTGCAACCCCTAACCAACTTTCCAACCATATTGTATCGAATCATCTATTTCTAGACCTGAATAGAGAGAGACTTCCCGACAAAATTAATTTTAACTTCAAAATTTACATTAAAATAAAGTATAGATAACATCACAGGCGGATCTAAGGGGAGAGGAGCTTTCGGACTGAAGGATGAAGGCCTCTTAAATCTTCAAACATTCACAAAACTACATATTAGTGTAGAAACAAAAACATCCTCTTTGTTTGGGGTGAATTGATAATGATAGTAGAATGGTGATTTTAAGATTCGATAGACAGCATTTGTATTGACTATATGGTCTACGATTTTTCTTAGAAGGAATAGGTTTAACGTTTTTTAGCCATTAGCCAACTCGACTCATTTTTGGTCAGGTCAGCTAGAGGATCCCCGAGCCCAGAGAGGATTTTTTTCTAGTACCGTGGTATTTTTGGCTCCCAAAATAATTGTTTTGTAAATTTTTTCAATGTTTGGGGTTTCTTCTCCAACAGCCACGAAGATCGTTGCTTTGTATTTGTCTAATTATTATTTGGCTCCCAAAATGAACGTTTCATATTCGTTTATTTCTGCAATTATTGGGGCCGCTCCGGAAGACCTCTAAAATTATTGTTTTTTAATTTTTGGGGGGAGCGATATAGTTCAGTGGCAGGGCACTGACTTCCAAATCTCACGGTCCCGGGTTCGAGTCTCGCTGATGGCAAATAATTGTTTATTCTGTTTCACCAGTCGTGGATCCATCCTGAAGTACACGCAGTCTCTGTAAATTGGGTAATATTAATCAATTAATCAAGGAGAAAACCTGGCGGTTGAGCGTGATCACGATCGAATCACCTGCTTGCATAACCGTTGACCAATAAACAGTACTTCGTTATATAGTACTGAACCCAAGATCCTTCATGGGTTGTAGTGGTACAGGTTTTTTAATTTAATTTATTGCGAATGTTTGAGGCTCCTCCGGTTTGCCCCAAAACTAAGTGTTTTACATATTTTTTACCACCTTAAAATCATTAGGAGACCTTCCACCAGCCTCTAAGATGATAGTTTTTATTTTTATTGTAACGTGGTATGTTAGGATCCAAAAGTAATAGGCTTGTATTTTTTCCGCTCATGTTTGAGACCTCTCGATGGAACTTTCGTTTCCTGGTCGAAACTGGAAGTGAGATTACACCACTATAATATGTATACAACTAGAAGCAAGTGATCTGGTGGTAGAATCTCCGATGGACTGAGGCAAATGTACCCCATTGGTGAAAAACTGCATAATAGCAAAGTTAGTATCCATACTCTACTCCTGCCAATTCCTTTGTTACCCAAAGTCAAGAAAGAAAATAACAAATGAATAAAAATAATTAAATGTACAAAATAAATTATAAAGAAGAAGGAGCCAAGAACCATTGTTGTGTCTCTAATTTGATGGGACTGAGAGAAGGAACGAACATACAGACATAATAGACATAATACAGACAAACGAAATATGAGGATAAGCTTTGTTACTGGTAGACTTCTTCATACAAAAATAAAGCGTAAGATTTAACCACATATTTTCTCTATGACATAAGAATCCTCGCATTCTTATCCATGAGTAACTACTGCACCCAATGCCACAATGCTATCCGGCGAGAGTTCACGTAGTACAGGCTTACAGTGACTGTGGACCACACATTATCTGGTATTCGTAATCCAAGAATATTTTCTTAAACCGCAGAACATCTAAGAACCAATTATAGTCCTGTGATAGTTTTCAGATTGTAATGAACGTCTCACTTACTCGGTGCGGTTCTTCAGATAGCATGATGGAATCATAGATGCCATGTATGGTTCTAAAGATGATAGCTTTCGAAAAAAATATACCCAGCTGAGTAGTTCTGAATTAATGTGTTCATTTATTGCCCAGCTTCAATCGATTACCTTTCAACTAGCAGATGTACTATAATTAAGGCATGTTTAAGAGTTATGTACCTATAGGCAGATGCACAATAAATTTCAACGGGACAAAAATAGTGGTTTGAAACTGCCAAGAAACTTATTTATAATAATAATAATAAAGAATGGAAATAATAATAATAAATCAATTCCAGAAATAAATAATATATTCCAAAATAAGTACGAAACGAGGCGCCGTTCTTTATGAAAACTGAACATATATATTGGTGCTATACATTAACAGTTAGTTAAAAAATCCACTATAGAATGCAGCACCACATGAAAACTTCAACTTTTGTATACGTTACGTTTAAATGAGATAAGAGCTCGAACTTCGTGGGGAGGTTACTGTTTTTAAAATTATTATTTAAAGTACTCTTTAAGTATACATGTATTTCATTGTTAAGTTGGTGAATTATTAAAAATATTGCTCAGTTAAAGTTTTAAAAATCATGAGTTAATTGTGCTCGCTTAGAAATGAAAAGTGCTGTAACTAACGCAACCAGTTTATTTAATGTGTAATTTTTTTTTTGATATTTAGTTAAATGTCATGGCAGGCTTTTTAACAAGTATTACGAAGTGTATAGAAGAAGACAAAATAGATATAGCCTTGAAAAAACTTCAGGTTTGTCATTAATGTTAATCTTAAATTTAGAAATCAATACTATATTTTTACTTCTTTTTTTTTCTTAGTACGATTGTGTGCATAGCATCTTTATAAACTAGTTTATTCCTTACATGTTAATGAAAGTAATTTTCTTCTGAGAGCCAATTCTAATCGAAGATCATGAAAATCTTTTGTGAACCTTACAGTTGACAGGATGTCTAACTCCAATTTTAACATTTTTTATTATTAATTTTAGTGATTTTTCTAGTTGGAAAATGTATAATTTCATTCACAGTTTCTTTACTTGAACACTGCAATAACCTATTATGGAATCAACATACTTACTATCTGTACAAATATAAATTTTTCAACTAGTAATATCACGAAATCGTTGAAGTTGGAGTTAGTCATTCTATCAACTGAAAGGCTCATGTAGAATCTAGAGTCAACAAATTCTCCACCATCAAAAATCTGTATGCTCATTGATTTTTTAAAATATTTTACTGTATAAGTAGCTCAACAATTTTACTGAGCAGTCAATGAATATAATATTTGTAAAGAGACTTATACATGTGCTAATTCATGTACCAGAATTTACGATTTAGAAATGCTTAATATTTTTTATTTATTAAAATGTTTTTGAAAACCTTAAAGTAGAGATTCATGAAATAGATTTTCATAGTAGTTGATCACTAGTATGCCTCTATTTGCTGTATCTATAATTGATAAATGTTGTGATTAGTAAAAAATTAGAAAATCAAAAACTTGGGAATAGGATTATTAATATATTTATGGTTTATACACAAACCGGATTATCTATAACCAAAGGTCTCTCCTATTTAATTATATTTTACAAAATTAATAATTTTGACAAAATAAATCATGATGATCCCAGTGAATCGTATAGAAAATATATCTCAAAACTGGATTAAACTCATTCCTAATTACGTTACGTTTGGTTTCTATTAATATATATATATATATATATTAATAGAAACCAAACGTAACGTAATTAGGAATGAGTTTAATCCAGTTTTGAGATATATTTTCTATACGATTCACTGGGATCATCATGATTTATTTTGTCAAAATATATATATATATATATATATATATATATATATATATATATATATATATATATATATATCTATATATATATATATATATATATCTATATATCTATATATATATATATCTATATCTATATCCTTCCTTACAGCTTATAGATTAATACTAAGTTATTATTTTTCTTTAATTTGTGCTTTTTATTTTAGGCGGAATGGCTTAAAAAGGCTCCTAAAGGATGGTCAGCTTATAATGTGATAGTATCACTTAATAAAGTTGTCCTCACAGCATTAAAAACCAAAAAGACTTGCCTTAGTAATGTAGAAGATATCTATAAACTAGCAGAGCTTTGCTGCAATGTTGAGTCTATGTGGGAGCAAGACAGAGCAGCATGTATGCAGTGTGTTTACCATGTTATGCGTTATATGTTAAGTCAGGTGAGACAAGTATTATAATTTTTATCTGGTTTCTTTAAACCATTGAACAAAAAATTTCACTTGTTTGTGCTTGTAAACATATATATATTTACTTAGTGATTTTACAAAAATAGCAACCAAATATGAAATGAAATGAAAAAAAATTATTATCGTAGGACTGTTGTCCCTTTAGAACAAATTATAGATACAGAAAAAATGCTTGTGTGGGCATACATAAAATTAAATATTTGCAAAATAATATCTTTAAAATTAAAATATAGGAAGATATCCCCTCCCAAAAAAAACAAAAAAAATATAGATATATATAAAATAAACATGGAACTGATTGTACCTGTCGGATATCGGGAGGGATGGTATTCCAGAAGGAGACGCATTGAAATATAAAGGATTTGTCAAACACAGCAGTTCAGTGAGGAGGAGAATAGAGGTCAGAAGTTCAGAATCTAGTGGGACAGGATTGAATGGAACATTTAAATTGTAGACTGTGAAAAATATAGGAAGGTCGCTGAGTTCTGATGGCTTGGTTTAGAAAGGTAGCAAGGTAGTATAGAGCCATATCAACTTGGTATAATTAAGATTCCGAAAACAAAACGTATTGAGCAGTTCATTAGGCGTTTAAATTTGGCTTTGAATTCTTCTGAGAGTTCTCCGTACACCAGACAGCTATAGTCAATGTGGGGAAATAAAATAGAGGAAACCAGGAGTTGAGGGGATTTATATGGAAGAAGTTGGCGGAGACGGTTGAACTGTTTCAGAGTAGAGATAGTACAACGTGAAATTTGGGAGATGTATGGTTTCCAAGAGAGGGTTTGATCAAAGGTAACACAAAGGTTTTTTATGGATGCATGGAATGAGATAGGTGAGTTGTTCAGGAAAAGATTGGGATGGATATAGAGGAGGAAGGAATGAAATCGAAAAAAAGGAATGAGAAAGGAACATACTGGTAGAGATCACAGTACATTTCCTGTTTTATCAGATTATCAACACTCATCTAAAACTTTATGAAGGGCTCCATTTTATCGTAACTTACAACTTTTTCCATAATAAGTTACAACTTATAAAATATAACATAATAGATTTATATACAGATGATTTTTGTTATAAAAATATTGTATTAAAGTTTTAGTTTGACAAAATCTTACATCATGAACTCTAATTACAAGATTTATATTAGTTTTATGTTATATTTATAAAAATTAAAATTTAATATGATGTTATTTTATTTTTCAGTCAAAGCTGTTACTTGCGAAAAATTTGTGTAAATATTTTTTTGAGCTCAAGAAGAAGAAAACATTTGTTAAATGGGAAGAAAAAGAAATCTTGGTCCTCTCAAATACTGTCATTTACTTTGTGTACTACATAAATGACATTAGCAAAGATATTAATAAAATATCATACTCGTGTGATATAGAAGTTTTAACAAGTTTTTGTTTCACTCTTGAAATTGCTGAGCTGAATGATTTTGCATCCACTTGTCATTTGTTTCAAGTAGTTTTTTTCCTTTCACGAAGAGCTCAGAATTTGTTGAATCATGATGATTATGTAAAGTTTTCCATGGCTGCCTTAAATTATTTTATGAATCACTTGAAAAAAATTGTGGATCTTAATATAGAGTGGAGTCCAAAAGATGAAAATATCCGATATTCTATGAACCTTCTTTCTGATATCATATTTCTTTTTAAAATTAACGACTTTTTTGAGCAAGCCGTGAAAACCTTACTTGATTTTTTGAACTGTTTAAAAGCAATTACTACGAAAGCACCTGTAATGGTAACGAATGGGCAAAAAGCTATTGATTTTGAATTATTAAAGAAAACGTTACAAATGTGTTTATACAGTACAGAAAGTTCGTTTGCTTCTTATTTTGAGGATTTTTGTAAATTACTTAGTTCTAAAACAAATAACGATTGTTTTCCATTTATTCATGCTTGCTTATCCACCTTTCGGACGAAAATTAGTTCATTGCTCCATAAGGATGATGATAAGATGAAACAGCTTTTTCCGGGGCTGTTGAAGATATATATCCAATCAAAATCTAAAATGACTGAAGAAAAATCTAAAAGAAGCGAGCTTCTCCATGCATTTACTAATGCTATGTATTTCTTAAATTCCTCTAAAGTAACATCAACTACTCTTAGTGGTATTTTTAAATATGTAGTAATGTTCTTCAAAGAATTTGATAGTTTGATCGTTGGAAATAAAACAACATTTGAATTTGGAGGTATGTATTTCATTTTAGAGTTTTTTGTATTGTAAATAAATTTATGGATGTCAGTTTCCCATTGTACTACCAAAATCTCATAAAGATTTTTGTCTTTTTCTCTATATTTTAATATTACTTGTTTTGGTTTTTCTCAACTTCTCTCAAACTGAAACATATAGCAACATTATCAAGTATATCGGTTTGTGTTATCTGTGATATAAACAGAAATATCAGTTTTAATTTTTGATAGTGCTAAATGATTAACATTGACCATTTTATATTTATTAAAATTTCTATTTTGGATATATAGCTTTTAAAATTGGCCTCCACACTTTTGTTTTTTCATTACAAGTGATTGATGCCATATATTTAATAAATATAGAGATTTACAAAATTAAAATGGTAATATATCTATTAGATATTTACGTGGTATTCATGCAGCTCAAGATTCATTAATAATACAATTCATTAATTACTACAAGATTCATTAATGTTCTAATTTTTTGTCAAAAACTTGATTTTCTTCTTTGTATATATTATTAAATTTTATTGTTAGCCTGAAGGAATAGTTCTATTTATCATCCTGGTAATTTACAACATTTGCTCTAGATTTTAACTACTAGATTATCTAATGATCTTTTTTTTTTTTTTTTAGTTAACTATTGTATCAATGCAATACAAACATTCAAAGAACTAGAACTTCATAAGGAGACAGCAACCTTATCAAAAAGTTTGTTGAAATGCATTTTGATGTTGGATTCTTCATTTCTTCCTCAAGAAACTTTTGAGGTATTATATGTTATAAATATACTGTATTTGCTTGAAGAGTTGTTAATTTAAAAATTTTGTTTCTAGTATCTTTTAGATTATTATAATTTTTTTTTAAATTTATATTTGTTGATAATGATATTGTTTCAGAACTATGATTGCTATTACAGGAATGGTACTTTCGGTCATGTTTAGTCACTTATCTTGGAAACTGGTGAACGTCATGGTCATGTTTATTATCGCCTCTCATCTCTCACCCACCAAAAGTCTGATTAAATAAGTTATTTAAATTGACAAAACTATTTGTGATGGAAACAAATACTTGTGTGTTTTTTTTGTATATCTAAATGTTTTTGCTTAAGTAAATTCATTATTTTTCAATATAAGTTTCTAAATTAAGAAATAAAAGTGTATAAAAACTAATATCTCTAGAGAGTGTTATTCTTGTTAGATTCAACAGGCTAAGTGTGAACATTTGAGGTGTGTCTAACACTCACTTAGATGATTCTAATACTTGTTCATGGGTTGTTTTCTCTATCTAATGACTTGGTTATTATAGAAAAAAAATCACTTGGTTGAACCAGCATGCAAATATCTGAAGCGTGTTTTTACCCTAAACACTTCAAATAGTTTTATTCTCTGTTTCAATTAATTTATATAAATCCTCATCGGTATCGCCAATTTCTCAAATTTATTTTGAATCTTTATGATCTTCTAGCCAGTTTCTATCCATTGAGTTGTTTTATTATGAAGGCTGTTCAAATATTTTAGGAAACAATTTATTACTCCTGTATACCTTCTACTAAAAGAAATTCATTATATTCAATTATGGGTACTTTTTTCTGTATCGGACTGATTTGCAGCACAGGGCTTTAGGATCTTTTATCTCTTCAATTTTTAAGGATTAAATCTTATAGTTATTTTCTTAGAGATTTTTCTTGATCTTAGAACATTCCAATTAAAAAATTTGTATACACAGTAAAAATATTTTAATTCTGAATAAAAAATTAATATTAACTTCCTACAATTATTTTACAGGTAAAACTAGGCCATTTACTAAATTTCTTCATACATAGTTTTTCTGCATTAGGACTAATAACTGAAGCTCAAATTGCTTTAATCGCATTTCTTGGAGTTCATCCCAAGTTTGTTACAGTTATTTTCAAGTTTTGGGCTGAACTTAAAGTGAATTGTCCAGATCATCACTCAAAGGTTAGTGTAATTTCAAGTTTTTATTTTACAAATTGCTGTGCTATTATAAACATCTTTGTTGGATTTTAATTTATTTTTTTCTCACTGTTCTAAGTATTATAACAGTGAGAAACCGATAAACCGATAACAGCATAAAACCGATATTTTTAAAATAAATAAATATTGAAGATTCCATAAATTTTGTTTGGATTTGCTGAGATAAAGGATAGTATCATAGTTTTTTTTTTTTTTTTTTTTTGCAACTCACCTTTCTTTACTGAGCCTCACTGAAGTAATTATCTTGATATATTTATTGATTTTACTTTGATTTCTCAGCATCTAAATTATGGTTTATTGTAATATCTACCAGTCATATCATTATTGGTTAAAAAAATACAAATAAATCGGATAGTGTATATACAAATTTTATGGATAAATTTCTAAAAATGATGTTATTTTATTTTAGGACTCCACATGTTATGATCTCATTATCTCAGAACAAAGTGTTATAGAAGAAAAGTGGCCACCGTGTAAAGTGAAAAACATTAATATTGAACTTTGCCTTTTAGAAGAGCTCAGAGCCTATGCCAAGTACAGGTATTTTTTCATCCTAGTAAATAAAGACGTGTGAGTGTCAAGAAATGCCTGCATGCATGGTAATGAATACATAAACAGAAATATTCTCAGGAATTTTGCAATCAATCTAGGAGAACGTGCATCCATCAGATTTTCGTATTCATAGAAAAAAAATGTATAACATGATGATAAAAAGAGTTGGGGTTGTCAATTTTTTTCTTGCAGACATTAAGGAATTTTTTTGCCATACAAAATAAGTTTTGCAGTTTAATTTTGATTTTAATTTTTTTATGTCTTATGTCCAAAAAAGTTGTTATTTTCCCACAATTTAAGGGCCTCTAATGCTTGTTTAGATTTTATGGTGGGAGATTATTTTAAGATGTGAGCTATTAAATCATTTTTATTAATCAAATCATGATATCCACTTTTATTTTACTATAGATCTTTTGGCGCCTTAACAAGCCTGCTCCATCACTGCCTGTCTTGCAATATTTCTTTTCAGCTATCAGCACGTAGATCTATTGAGTCTTTGTTGATTCTATTTGTCCATCTGCTTTTTGGCCTTCCACGTGGTCTTTTGCCTTCTATTGGGGCATTCATTGTAACGTAGAGGCTTCCAGATGGGTTGCTATGAGCTGCATGCCACAACGATCTTAACCTCCGGGCCTCCATATCATGGGATATTGATTGACCAGCTTCTGTAAGCAGCTCTTTATTGATCTTTCTTCTCCATTTGTTAGTACTCTGATTCCAGATCGCTCCGGTCATCGTTCAGAGGATTTTTCTCTCAAACCTTTCAATACTTTTTTCTACGTTACTGGTTACTGTCCATGAATTTAATATTTTTGCTATAAAATTATTTAAATTTGATAGTTAAAAATTATTTTACAAATATTAATTACACTAAATATAATACAGTGGGATCGATCCCTTACTCTGTTTCTCAGGAGCGATGGATTTTGATTAATGAATTATCAATCGGAAGGGAATTTTATGGAGAAGTTACGAATTCAAATTCCAATTTCTACAGCAATTTTAATAGAATTTATTATAAAAGGATACTTTATAATATAGAAGTATGATTTTTTGGAATAAACGACCGATAGATACCTGATCATTTAAATAAATCTTAGCTAGAGTTAATACTCTATAGTAAATATATTTGAGGTTATAACCATATCCATGAAATATTTTTATATTTCACTACTTCTTTCAAAAAAGTACAATTAATTTTAAACAATGGCATTGGCATGATTCGGTGTATTTTAAATCTTTTTTTTTTCAAACTTAAAAAAAAACTTTAAAAGATTATATTTAGTTAGAAAATTTCATTTAATTTCATTCTACATATGTGATTTACGTTAAATAATGTTAGTTTTCTGAAATAATTATTTATAATTTTTCACCACTCTCCATTACCTTCTACAGCTTCTTATATTAGATATTGTTTTTTCTAAAATTCTCAGCTTTCCAACGATATATTATACGTGTACCTTCTGACTAGTAATTCCGGAGATTCATTTTTGACCTGGATAAGCATTTTTATTTTTTTTCTCCTTTATTCAATTATCAAATTCTTTCAAAAGTTATATTTAGCATTTTTCCGTAACTGTTAATAATGTGAGATGATTAATTATTTAAAATAAACCATATTAAAGGTACTTTAGAGGAAGTCGTTTATGAACATTGGACATCAATGGGGATAAGACCTGATTGATATTAAAGACCACTTAATTATACAATGATAAACCGAGTTTAATAAAAATCGTTAGAGCCATTTTTGAGAAACTTGTAAAAATGTGTTTCAGTGTTGGTATAAAGTGGCACTTTCGGTTAGCCAATTTTAATGAGAAAGTTGCTGTCACATCTAAGGTATATACCTATCTTAATATCATTTTCGTACGACTTTTCGTTTTTAAGCTAGACTGCTAACATGCACACACACACAGACCATTTTTCGGGACTGGGTTATTTGGACTCAGGGAACCTCAAAATGTGTATTTCTGTTGAAAACTCAGATTCAAAAATTTTCACGATCGCAATACTTACCCTTACTATATATTACATATATAGGTAATTGAAAGTAAAAATAGTTCAATGGCAGATTGGGAAATATTTTGGGATATTGAAATGGAATAACCACTTTTTAAATAACAGACACATAATTGTTTAGTTCCTTGTCAATTATACAATTCTAGCCTTTCTGAAGTCAATCTCTGTCTTCACTTGCATAATGGAATTGTCTGTTCTAGAGGTCAAAATATTTCTCAACCATAAATGGAAATTTATGTAGTTAACATGATTAGTTTTATATGGATATATATTTATACATATACAGACAATATAAGTATAGTTCCCTTTAAAAAAGTCTATGATACCAATTGAATAAAATACCTTAGAGTAATAGAACTGTTATTAATAATGAATTATGTAATATAATTATACTTTTTATTCGTTAACAAAATTTCAATGCTAATTTTCACTTTTTGACTTTTTAGAGAACTTCAAGTTGGCCCAGTTGTTGCAGTTTATAGAGTGGCCTCGAAGATAGTAAAAGATAAACCTTTATTGGCCAGTATAGTAACAGCCACTGTTGATGCTGTAAGTTCTGATGAATACATACCAACATTAAAAAATCTACACATTTCGTTAGAAAATCTATTGACCTACGACTTGAAAATAGAGGTTTGTTAATGATAGGTATCCCACTTATTTTAATATTTGATCAATTCTTCTTAAATAAAACAATTGAGAACATTTTATAATAAACTTAATGCAAATTCTTACTAATGTTTTATAGTCTGAGGAACTTGATGAAAGAAAACTGTGTTGTTTGAGGTTAGCTATTGGTGATATTCTTTACCAGCTCATCCGCTGTGATATTGTAGAATTAAGAAAAAAGGCTGAAGTAAGTATTTTAACCATAAAAAATAAAGGATTTTTTTTAATTTAATAGGGAATTTTCATTTTTTAATAAATGGTTAAGGGCAATTTTAAATTCTTTCTTTACTTTAATTTTTTTGTTTTCTTATATTTCTTCCATGGTTGGCATATTCTGAAAATTTTTCTCTATATTCAGAAGCTTCAGTTTTAATTTAATAATTTTTTTTCATATATTCATAATAAATATATAAATATTGTGAATGTAACGTATATTACATAATAGTAATTAATGAAAACTTGATGAAACTTTAATTTTTGTTGTAATTTGTTACAAAGTCTTTTTATGTACAGTTTGGTTAGGTTTATGTTACATTAATTAATTATGAATTATATTCCTAATTTAATACAGATTTATGTAAATTAGTAAAGTGTTATTTTAAGGCACAGGGTGTACATTTGTATGGAATATACCAACAATACACAATACAATTATTATTTATACAATTGAATGATGTTGGCATCATATCATGAGGTGTGAAAAAAACAATATTCCTCAGAAAAGTCAGGAAAAAGAGTTACAAAGAAAAGGAAACTTTATTTGCGCATAACTCAAACAATGTACAATTCATGGTTGATTATACCCCAGAAATGTTTCTAAATTGAAAAATTGTTTCTAAAAATCGAAAAAAAAATTATTGTAATGGGGTCATTTTAAGCTAATATACACCCAATCAATTGCAATTCGTATTTGTATTGCAACTCATGTATTGATCTGTTATTTTTAATTTAAATTAACTCCTCTTTCTAATAATACATTGCATTTACTTATTTCCATATTATATTGTCATTTGTTTACTCTAAAATACTACATACGTTATTCCTCCGGAACTATCGGATCCTCCGTTTTTAACCCCAAAAACGTACTATTTTTGAGATAACGCAAGACACAGGGTTCGCATCCACACAACCTTACATTAATTGTAGTACTGTCATTGAATACATGTCTCATTTCGTCGACTTGAGGTCTCTATGATCGAGAGATGAGGAGTTTATATTATTTATGGATGGTGTTTTTGATCGTCAAGCCATATCATCGTTAATTTTTCACCAAATCTCAAGATTGAGCCACCAATTTCGAAGGCTTCCTTCTCCTTCAGGCTGGCAAAATAGTCCAATCACCCAGAAAATCCTGGCAAACAAGTTATGAAAGAAAAGAAACTTTATTTGCAAATAACTGAAAAATTACACACTTTTCCCTTGGTTATGCCCATGATTATATAAAAGATTACTAAATTCCCTACAAAAGGAAAAAAAAAATCATCGAAATCAGACAATTTTTAGCGAAGATACAGCTTACTGAAATTTGATGTTGGTTCCAAACAAAAAGGAAGATTTAAATTAATTTTTGTTTGCTTTGTGGATTATATTTATCGATAAAGTAACATTTGATGTCTTAATCCTTTGATACATTGCATTTTTTTATTTTCTTATTAATTTTTCTTTTGATAACTATATGCTGTGTGAATTTTTCGCACGGGCCTACTAGTTATATTTAATCTGTATATGATTATATTTTTATCAAAACTCTTTTTTCACATTCTTTTATTGCACTTTTAAAACATTATATATATACAAATTTTATTATAACATTTTGTCCTTTTTAGCCATTTTAAATTATATTTATTGTACATATTTTCACCACCTATCCATCTTTTATTTGTAAAATTTTTACTTGTCAATCTCATTCAGACAATGTCAAGCTTTTCTTTTTGTGAGTCAAAAAGTTATTTGTTGGTGGATATACTTTTCTTTCTATAAAAATTAGCAAAAATAAAATAAATGAATAAAAGTAATATGAATACCCTAAATAAGATTTTTATCATAAAAACATATATATAATTTTATTTTACTATTTTATCCTTTGAGTATTACAATGTAATCTATGAATTTATTCTCAACTTTTCTAGGAAGAATTGAATTTTTTGAATGTACCTCAAAAGGAAGAAATTCCTGTCATTGAAGGAGGTGCCAGCACCGTTACACCTGCTTATTCCAACTTAAAAATTGCAGAACAAACTCAGTTATTTGAAAAAATGTCCAAAGCCATTTATTATTGGGAATCAGCAGAAAATATAGTAAGTTTTATATATATATATATATATGTATGATAATCACTGGTCTCATTATTTTGATATATATGTTTTTTGAGATTGTGGTTTAATATTAGTTGGATATGTTTTAAAAACCATTAAGTACTTTTTCTCTAATTATTAACTAGTTTCCATTTCTATTTTTCCACATTATTTCATTTTTATTATTATTTTTTGTATTATGATTCCTCTAATTATTATTATTTTTTTTACATTTCTGATTTATTTTCAATTTAAATATCTTATTCTTTTATAAATAGTTTTCTTACAATCTTTCTCAAGATGTTTGTCCTTCTCATTCTGGCAAGATCAGATTGGGGTGCTTTGGAATGGATTGAATAAGGAGGTTAAATCCTAATAAGCAACATCAATACTAGATGCTCTAGATAATTTTTGGATTAACTTTTGATGATAAATTTTCATTGGACAGCTGGTATAGCTCATCATTGAATGAATAAGTGGCTATAAATATTTCTGATATGTAGAATCTAGACTTAAGGTTTTTGAAAACAAAATTTCTTATTTTATTTAATCTCAATTTTGTAAGAAAAATATTGGAATAATTAAATAATCCATATTCTTACCATGTTATACACTGGGCCCTCCTGACCTGTCTTCCCCATCTGCCCAGTTCCACAGCCTAGTTTTTCTATATTTTCTGTCATCTTGAACTTTACTCTGACTACTAAATGAATTAACTATGTACTTGAAAAAAAAAGTATGATATATGTAGAGTTTAGGATTGTTTATTAAAGAAAAATAACCACAAAATATCCATTTATAAATGAGATAATGATACATCCATCCACCAGTGCCTTTGTGTTATGCGATTTGAATAATTCATCATATTCTATTGAAAATTAACTATGAATTTTAGATTGGCTTATATTAGGCATTAAATTAAAAAATAATTATGTTTTCATACTTTTGAATTCACTACAAAACTTATTGACTTTTTTTCTATTTATTATAAAAAAAAATTTTAGTGACCGATATTTTATTTTACACATAAGGTGGAATGCACACTGAGTACCATCACCATGCAGGTTTATGGATACTGCACCCTCATCCCATATACGATTTCTTTTAACTCTTCAGGATGCAAATTTTCAGCTATTATCTTCTTAAACAATTTCTGTCTTTCATACACCTTTTTACTTTGTAAAATGGGGTTGGTCCACTGTTAGGCAAATAGGGAATACTCCTCCAGTAATATCAAAATAAAATAAAAAATATATTAATCTGTACCTGTGATACTGTGTACTACGATCCATTATTCTTCTATTGTGGCTATTGAGATGAACTAATAATGGTACTTTTAACTATCAATGTATATCCTGTCCTAATTGCTTTTTTAATGTCCATTTAAATTCCAAAGTTTTGGATATTAGTCTTTGTTTTGTCCAGCCATAAGTATGTTTTGATGTCTTAATATTTTTAGTCAATTTTCTTTTATATTATTATAATTTAGTTGTAAATCATGTTTTTTGTTTGTCCCTTCTTTTCCAATCATGCCAAATTAGCTTCATGCTCTTAGAAGATCTCACTATTTTCTTCCTTAAGACAAACTGAAGATTTTTGCTGATTTCCACTACTCATATATTAATTAATAAATTTTTGTTTTTGTCCATTTGTTATTTTAATCATTAATGATTGACTAAAAAAAAAAAAATGTGTTTCTAGTTTGTCAATGAACTAATATTTTATATATATATTTTTAGGTTACACTAGAGGACAGTTCATTTATCCATTTTAGGTTTATGAAAGGAATGGCCTATATTTGTCGACTATATTCTTACAGGATAAAAGAAAAACAAGCTTGGGAAACTATTTATAAGCTTGCAAAGAAAGTATCCAATCACAAATACCAAGTTTTAGGTAATTTCTTGTTGAAAATTATTTATATTTATATTTATTAAGTATAAAAAATAGAATAATGTTAGCAACTAGACTCCTAAAACTCAGGTCTAAGTTTATATTCCTACAGGCTGTGGTAGATTGATTAATTAATTAATGGAATCTTTAAATTTATATTTTTAACAATAAACCTATATAATGGTGAAGGAATGTATGTAAAGTTAAAGATTCTTTGTTCGAATGGTATTTTAGAAATTTTGAGAAAATATAATAATATGGATAATATAATAAAGAATTGAGGAATAATATAAATTTACATATATTTGTCTGCATGAGGAAAATTTGTCCATTTCGCAATCACCAACAGCCAAATAATAAAAATTTGTCATTTGTATGTTACAGAAAATAATTGATTCTTGTTTGATTGTTGGGGCTGTAAGGCGTAATTTTCAATTTCATCAACACCTGTAAATTACTTTTGTTTATGTCTGACTTAAATTTCATTGATTCTTGTTCTTATAATTTTAAATAAATTAAATTCTAAATTATGTATTAATGTACAACATATGAAAGATAGTAGTTAAGATAATCCTGATGATAATAAAACATGACAAAACAGAAAAGTGACGTCAAATCAATAAAAAAAATTAAATTAGAAGAGACTGCACATTATAACATTTTACTATATTCACAAGAAATGTTTACTTTCCTATCTCTAATGATTCCTAAACTTAATTTTTTGTAATATTTAATTTTTGTGTTTGTTTTTGTTTTTTGGCAGCTGTCGCAGAGCTATTAATATTGCAAGCTAATGTTAACTCGACATGGTTGAAAGAGGTTGAAGAATTGGTCAAAAACGAAACAAGTATTAGTAAAAAGAGTTATATTTACTCGTTGTGGTTTATTAATTTGGGAAAAAATTTAGTCATGAATCAAAAGGTTTGTTAGATTTATTTATTTTAAATACAACTTTCAAAATTGAGTATTTATTAAAATCAGATTTTTTTTTTTCATTTTTATAACAAAATTCCTTAAATTTATTTCAACCACTAACTCATATATTTAATTCTATATCAAAAATTAGGTTTTTATTTGTAACAGATTCAACCAAGGAGATAATTAGAGATGGTATTATCAGTTAGTGTTGATCAGTCCTAAAGGCCCTTTTACATGTTTAGGTTTCTCAGAATGTTTCTTATATGAACTAACTTTAGTCAAGAAACTTAACTGTGTAAAAGGATTTTCTTAGATCACAGGATCAAATTGATCCAACTTGTTAGAAATTTTTTACTATACCATAGCAGAACTCCTGTTATTCTGGAAACACACTATGCATCTTTTCATTTGTCTGCTGTATTATCTGTGGCTCTGTGCTTGGTTATATTCTTTTTATTGTAAAAATGTCGGGATGGACGATTTATTTTACTTTTATTAATATGTTTTATTTTTTAGTTTGATGAAGCTGCAAAGGTGATTGAAGAATTAGATGAATCTGTGCTCAAAAGGCTATTCCTTGTGAATGCCCAGTACAAGCTGCTCCTCTTTTCCCTTAAAAGAGACAAATTAGATTTAACACCCTCCAGATCTGAGTTTACTCTTTATATTTTGGTGCAGATATTTGAAAGCATTCTTTTCTTGATAAAACATTCGAGGTGGAGTAAGTATAGTTCAGTTTATTTTTAATTGACGTTTTTATTATATATATATTTTTATTTTTATTTTAGTCTTCCCTTTTTATTTAAATTAAAAAATTAAATTTACATAAAGTCAGCATTTGAATAAATGTACTTTAGCTATATTGAAAAATAACAAGAGAGCTGGCAGAGAATGACACAATTATAGCACTGTATACACTACTATTAATAACACAACTTTAATGTGATTTGCTGATTTTATCATAAAGTTCAGTTAACATTTTTTTCCTGTTCATTGGTTTCATTACCATATATATATATATATATATATATATATATATTTTTTTTTAGTTTTATAATCTTATTTAAAGTAATTTAGTTGTGTACTATTGTTGATTGTAATATATATTTTTATTATATATATATTTTTATTTTTATTTTAGTCTTCCCTTTTTATTTAAATTAAAAAATTAAATTTACATAAAGTCAGCATTTGAATAAACATACTTTAGCTATTTTGAAAAATAACAAGAGAGCTGGCAGAGAATGACACAATTATAGCACTGTATACATTACTATTAATAACACAACTTTAATGTGATTTACTGATTTTATCATAAAGTTTAGTAAAAAATTTTTTCCTGTTCATTTGTTTCATTAATATATATATATATTTTTTTTAAGTTTTATAATCTTATTTAAAGTAATTTAGTTGTGTACTATTGTTGATTATGATTTTCAGAGACTTTTTGTGAAAAATGTATTTTACAATGGCTTCTATTAGAATATTCAGTAATCATCGGTAAAATGTACTATGATTTGAGATTAGTAAGGCATGCTCGATGTTATGCAAAGAAACAGCTGGCTGTTGCTCAACGATTAGCATTACCTGTAAGGTATGTTGTTCACATTTTTTTTTTTCATGTTTATTAGAAAACCATACTAGACAAGAATGAAATTATTATTAGTTATAATATTATGTGTTTGAACCCCAGGTTGCGAATTTTTTTATCATTAGGCTCAGCATTTAGGTTAGACTGTGATAATAAATTTACTTATATTTCACTGTGGCTATTTTTATTTGTTTAAGCATATTTATTATGCCAACTTTTATTTTTATGATTTCATAAACGATATAAATAAATATTGAGACACTCAATAAAGTTAGAATCGGTAATAATTTGTCCGAAAAATTTGAGGTTCGTTCGGGCTTAAAACAGGGAGATTCACTTTCGCCTGTCCTGTTCAATTTGGCATTAGAACATGCCATTAGGGAGGTAATGCGAACCGAGAAAGGGTTGGATCTGGGGGGGACAACATCCGTGCTGGGCTATGCTGATGATCTGGTACTGTTAAGTGAAGACGTTGAAACTATAAAACTAAATACGACAACGTTAATGAAAGCCGGGAAAGAACTAGGACTCGAAATAAACGTGGATAAAACAAAATATATGGTTAGCTGCAAAAAGGGCGATACTATTGGTGACTTCGATATAGATAGTAATATGTTTGAACAGGTAGATAAATTTAGGTATCTAGGTTCAACGATAACTAGAAAAAACGAAATTGAAGAAGAGATTAAGGTTAGACTGAAGGCGGGAAATGCTTGTTATTTTTCTGTGACAAAACTTCTTAGTTCGCGCCTCTTATCCCGGAACTTAAAAATTAGAATCTATAAAACAATTATCTTGCCTACAGTTCTTTATGGATGCGAAACTTGGCCGCTTACATTAAGGGATGAGCAGCGTCTTAAGGTTTCTGAAAATAAAGTATTGCGTAGAATATTCGGACCGAAGAAGGATGAGTTAACCGGAGAGTTCAGACGGCTACACAACGCCGAATTGCGTGAGCTGTATCCGGGTAATATAATTGATGTAATTTCATCGCGGCAAATCAAATGGGCTTGTAAAGTTGTTGGGCTTAGTAACGAGAGAATTCCTAAAAGGTTAATATTTGCTGTGCCGAATGGTAAGCGTCCGAGAGGTAGACCGAAGCGAAGGTGGGAAGATTGCATTAAAGCCGATCTGAAGGGACTGGGTTTGGACGGCGAACGGTGGAGGGAGGTGTGTAACAAGTGATTGGTGGTGTCGGCATCGAACCTTCGGGTTCGCTAAGCCTTATTATTATTATTATTATATAAATAAATATTACATAATCATAGATGTACAAAAACTCTTGGAGGCATCATGTGGCCCCAAGCGAGGTTGCACATACTCTATCAGAGGCTGTGGTGCTGGTGGTCTGGTGGTCTAACTCGTGGTGCTGTGCACACACGCTTTAGCCCATTCGGCCACCCCGTCCCCCTTCCGACCAAATACCTGTTAAAGTTATCAAACTCTGCATTCCAGCCTTACTTCCCACACTTTTACACATATATAATTTCTCTTTCCAAAATTCCATTTTCTCCATATTCTGCAAAAGAGCCATAGTCCGCACACTGAACAAAGTTCCTATTCCTTCATCAGCTTCCGACTTCAGACCCATCTCCATTTTATCCAATCTATCCAAGCCTCCAGAATGATTAGTTCACTCTCAGTTGAACAGCTTTCTCGAGCAAAACCATCTCCTCGATCCTTTATAATCTGGTTTCCGATCCCAGTATTCCACCCAGTCTCCCTTGCTAAGAATTACCCAAGACCTCCAATCCGCCATAGATAAACAGAAAATCTCCATCCTAATTCTTTTTGACTTCTCCAAAGTGTTTGATTCCATCAATCATGAGATTCTTCTTTCCAAACTCCAATTGTTTCTCTTCTTCTTAACCAATCGATCTCAGACAGTTGCAATTCCGAACAATCTTCCCTCATTACCCCTCCAATTAACCTGAGGTGTTCCTCACTCTCCCTGACTCTTTTCTCTATTTATATTAGTGAGCTTCCTGATGCCATTCAACACTCCTGTTACCACCTATATGCCGATGAATTCCAAATTTACCAATCATACCAACCTTCTGAGATGCATGAGGCTGCCCGAAAGCTACAAGAGGATGTCGACTGCATCAACAGATGGGCAGAAAAAATGAATTAAAGCTGAATGCAGATAAAACTTAGGCTATTCTCATCGGGTCCAGACATCTCATTAGCTCCCTTCCTTACTTTCCTCTTCTTAAACCATTTAAATAACCATCCCATCCATTTTTTCCCTACAGTCAAAAACATAGGAATAACCTTTGACCAGAACCTCTCCTGGAATAACCATATCTCCCAGATTACCTGAAAATCCATAACTACCCTTAAACAACTCCTAAGATTCCATGATTGTATTCCTCTAAAAACCAGACATCTCCTTGAAACCTCCCTTATATTCCCCCCACTCCAATCACGGCTGTTTGGTGTATGGAGGGCTATCTGTCAGGCTAGAAATGAAACTGAAAAAAGCCATGAACTGTTTCATAAGATACATCTTCGGGATCGTCAGGCATTCACATGTTCATTCTGGTACATCGAGTTGAAGTGGCTTTATCTTATCTCCCAATGACAATTCCTCCTTGGTATTTTCCTTTTCCAAGTCTTCAGAACCAAAAACCCTCCCTACATCCCATGGAACTCCTTACTCTACATTTCTCTATCCACTCTCTTAACACCAGATCTCAACCTATAGACTTATATATCCCCTCCCGTAAAACTTCTTCCTTCAGTAAATCCTTCGTCATTCCTGCTGCTTCCTTTTGGAACTCTCTTCCTACCTCCTTACGTCAATCCTCGCCCACAAATAAATTCTGTTCCATCACCTTCTCCACATTCTAACTTCCGCAAACATGAAAAATTACTTGCATCTGTACACTGTTTAATCTCAATCTACTGCACAATTGCAATAACAATTAACGGTTAATTAGTTTGTATTTTTATTATTCTAAGTCAGACTAAGACCCATAAATTTGTAACTCTGTTATTATTCTTAGGGGACAGTAGTCCATTTTAATCATTGGAAACACACAAATATATTCCTCATTATTACAGTTAAACCATTATAAAGTAGATATGTAAAGAAAAAAAAATTATATGGATTGCTCATCTAATTTCTTATATAAAACTTAAAAGTGCAGCGGACTTTAGCTAGCATGTGGATCATGGGGAAATGAAACATGTGTTACATGAGTGGTACAGTGGCAGTAATAATGATACAGAGGCAGGGAAATGCACACCATTAGAAGAATTATACACGTTTGAGAAAATATAAAAACTTGGAGGCGGGGTGGCAACTGGGGTGCAAACTAGGGAGGGTGGCTGAGTGGGCTAATGTGTTTGCAAAACACGCATTGCCCAGCAACCTGACTAACCGTAATTTACAAGATAAAATAATAACGAGTTTGTATCTTGGTGCTGATGGAGAAGGAGAGGGAGGGGAGACTTTTAATTCTCTCATTAATCTCTTGTCCTCTCTCCTGGCCTGGAGGAAACTCTGTATAGCCTTAAAGGTGAGGAAGTAATGGTTGACAAAAATATACTATAAAAACTTAGAAATTTCTTTTGTTAAGTTTAATACACTAAGTTTAGTAATAATGGAGGAGTTATGATTATAGTGGTATAAGTGAAGTTTGCTTAATTTTGGGAAAATGAAGTTTGCTTAATTTTGGGGAGGTGAAGTTTGCTTAATTTTGGGAAAGTGAAGTTTTATAAGGATACTTAAATGATAAATGTCTTTTATACAAACATCATTAAGTGTATATGGTCTCTGGCCATAATACACGGTGGGCCAGACCCCCTTACCGTGCACCCCCCCCACATCCCTATAAATTGCATATCGTTGTGTTCCTTGTAACAATTTAAAAAAAAAAAGCAAATGTTCCCACAAAAAAAAGTGAACGCACTGCCCCAAAATGGCGTCCAAAGATGGCGGATTGACGACTTTGACTTTAGTTAGTTTTTTGGTCACTGAGAATCAGCATTTGGCTTAATTTCCTCATAGTTGGTCTTTTATTAAAGCTGAATAGTCATAGAATAATAAAACATCAAGAAATATTAAAAGATAATTGGTTTATTTTATGAAAAACACCAGTAAATTTAATTTTTTTAACCAAAAAAATTGTCAAGTTTCAAATCATGCGTCGTTTATAATTAAACGGCCTACAATAACGCAAAACGTGCTGAAATAAAACATCTGGAGAATATATTTCTCTTTCTAAAACGCTAATTATTTTTTTAAAAATTTTAAGCGGTTCCGTAGAAAACGGACTTATGCGGCAGAAAAGCGGTACTGGCGTGGGTGCCTATAGGCCTCTACCACACCATTCAGTACACATAAATGGCTTAGTTATGGTGATATAATAACTTTTTTGGTAAATTATATTGGTTTTATTAACGAACAAATATTAATGCAATAATATAATTGTAAAAAAAAATTAAATTAAAAAAAATTAAAATTAAAAACAAATTTATTATTTTTTTTTTTTTAATTTAACCTCCTTTATTATATACGTAGGTCGTTTAAGAAGACCTCAATCGTAAAAATGATATAATTATAATCATAAAACTTAATTAAGAAATACTTTGCTAAATATCTTGATTTTTTTTTTATTTAACGTTTGCTATTTAACACTATGTTTTGTATATTCACTGATTCTTAGAGGTAATTAAAATTTTTATATACTTTCCAGGAAATGAGTCATATTAACACCTGTTTTATAAACTAAAATAATATATACCTAATCTGAACTATATATAATGAATAGCTACCGGATTGTTTAGTAAAACTCATATATCACTAATTAAAAAATTAATTTTTATTTCCTTTATTTTGTACGGAAGTTGGACTATATCATAAATAAATAGGAAATTTTAATATTGAATGAATTATTCTCTCGGCACAAAGAAAGATAGATAAAAAGGGTGACGCTATAAGTTCTTCTAGAAACCAGAACTGATTGTTTGTTTTTGGTATCAAAATGAGGAAAAACTTGAAATTGAACCAAAAAATTGGAAAAATACATTAAGCGAACGAGAAAGGAAGTGCCAAAACCTTGGAAAAGATAAAAAGGACCAGTATCCATTATTTAACTAAATGAATGTATAGTAGACAGATGAACAGAATATTTTAAGATGCTGCTAAAAGGAGGTCAATTGCAGTTTGGATGATATTAAGTGGACGATGTAGGTTTATTATGGTAAAAACCACTTTATTTTCGATTGCTGAAGATGCACATCGGGACTATATTAACTTTGAAGCAGGATATAGAGAGGTATATCGAGAAAGTTATAGCTCATAGCTCTCCTTCTGTTTGGTGCATTTGCAAAAGATTTTTTAAGGAATCTTATATTAGTTATAGCTCGTTATTGTTCAGAAATTGCGGAATAAATTTTTCGGAATTTTTACCATACCATAAAAAAATAGGAAATGTTAATATTGAATGCATTATTCTCTCTGCACAAAGAAAGATGGAAAGGGCTAAACCGACCTGCTTCGCATAGTTTTGCGCGAACTTAGGCAAAAGTATATTAGAAAATTATATAAAAGGACTGTGGTTTTTATCTTTACAAGGTAAAATTCACTCCTGTTTAGTGTACCAGACAAATTACACTCAAGAATCGTAGAAGCTGGAATAAGAAATATTGTCTATTGCCAGAGCGATATGGATTGAGAAACTCTAGTAGCACATTGGAAAAGAAAATGAAAATTGGGACTGTCTTCACTTTAAGGTAGGTTATAGAGAAGTCCATATAAAAATAAAAATAGCTCTCTATCTGCTTAGTGTCTAACACTTTGCATTATGCTAATATCTAATTGTCTTTCAGAAAAGCTCGTTTTCGTTTTAGATTCCTTAAAAAATCTTTTCCAAATGCACTAAACAGAAGGAGTGCTATGAGCTATAGCTTTCTCGATATACCTCTCTATATCCTGCTTCAAAGTTAATATATTGTCCCGATGTGCATCTTCAGCAATCGAAAATAAAGTGGTTTTCCCCATAATAAACCTACATCGTCCACTTAATATCATCCAAACTGCAATTGATCCCCTTTTAGCAGCATCTTGAAATATTCTGTTCATCTGTCTACTGTACATTCATTTAGCTATATAATGGATACTGGTCCTTTTTATCTTTTCCAAAGTTTTGGCACTTCCTTTCTCGTTCGCTTAATCTATTTTTCCAATTTTCTGGTTCAATTTCGAGTTTTTCCTCATTTTGATACGAAAATCAAACAACCTGTTCTGGTTTATAGAAGAACTTATAGCGTCACCCTTTCTATCTTTCTTTGTGCGGAGAGAATAATTTATTCAATATTAAAATTTCCTATTTATTTATGATATAGTCCAACTTCCGTACAAAATAAAGGAAATAAAAATTAATTTTTTAATTAGTGATATATGAGTTTTACTAAACAATCCGGTAGCTATTCATTATATATAGTTCAGATTAGGTATATATTATTTTAGTTTATAAAACAGGTGTTAATATGACTCATTTCCTGGGAAGTAAATACAAATTTTAATTACCTCTAAGAATCAGTGAATATACAAAACATAGTGTTAAATAGCAAACGTTAAATAAAAAAAAAATCAAGATATTTAGCAAAGTATTTCTTAATTAAGTTTTATTATTGTAATTATATCATTTTTACGATTGAAGTCTTCTTAAACTACCTACGTATATAATAAAGGAGGTTAAATTAAAAAAAGTAATAATAAATTTGTTTTTAATTTTAATTTTTTTTTTAATTTAATTTTTTTTTTACAATTATATTATTGTATTAATATTTTTTCGTTAATAAAACCAATATAATGTACCAAAAAAGTTATTATATCAATATAACTAAGCCATTTATGTGTAATGAATGGTGTGGTATAGGCCTGTAGGCACCCACGCCAGTACCGCTTTTCTGCCGCATAAGCCCGTTTTCTACCGAACCGCTTAAAATTTTTAAAAAAATAATTAGCGTTTTAGAAAGAGAAATATATTCTCCAGATGTTTTATTTCAGCACGTTTTGCGTTATTGTAGGCCGTTTAATTACAAATGACGCTTGATTTGTAACTTGAAATTTTTTTTGTTAAAAAAATTGACTTTACTGTTGTTTTTCATAGCCTAAACCAATTATTTTTTAATATTTCTTTATGTTTTATTATTCTATGACTATTCAGCTTTAATAAAAGACCAACTATGAGGAAATTAAGCCAAATGCTGATTCTCAGTGACCAAAAAACTAACTAAAGTCAAAGTCGTCAATCCGCCATCTTTGGACGCCATTTTGGGGCAGTGCGTTCACTTTTTTTTGTGGGAACATTGGCTTTTTTTTAATGAATTGTTACAAGGAACACAACGATATGCAATTTATAGGGATGTGGGGGGGGTGCACGGTAAGGGGGTCTGGCCCACAGACTATAACCAGTTAAGTCAAAAAATGGTTCTCTCAAGTTCTGTGAATTAATATCATCTTCTAAGCGTCCTAGCCACCCCGCCTCCAAGTTTTTATATTTTCTCAAACATGTATAATTCTGTGAAGAAGTTAATAAATTCACAATTCTCCTCGTCTAGACCTCTCAAATTTTTAGTACTGTGAGTTACCAACTCTTTCACAGTGTTTAGAACACTTGGAAGATGATCTCAATTCATAGTACTCGTGAGGACCATTTTTCGACTTAACTAGTTATGGCCAGAAACTATAGGTATTATTTACTTAAATAATATACTTTCAACACTATCTTTGAAACCCTCCCAAGCTAATTGTATTTATTTCTTAATAAAGTCATACGTTAGGTAGATTTAGGTTGAGTTGAGGACTTGCATAGTAACTTAAAGTACTATTTATGGTTTGTCTTTACTTAAATACTAGTTACAGTAAGCTTAATATTTTGATAATTTTTTCACTGGTATGAGATTTTTTCATTATTAACTTTATTTAAATGAGGTACTGAATCTTCTCTAAAATTAAAATATATAGATAAAAATTGCTTTAAAAGAATTAATGCTATCAATTATAAAGGATTCAAATTGCCAAATTTATATTCTTGGGATCTATATTATTCAATTTCTCATATCCAATTATAAAATTTATATAATATTATTTTATATATTCTTATATTACTTTATTTTGTAGGGTTTGTGAATTTCTCACTCTTCTTGGTGCAGTTGATCTTCTGACGGGCAACAGAACAGACGCTAACGAAAAGCTTCTTGGCCTCGACTCTATTTTGGAGCTGGATACTGTCAAAGTAAAAGAGGAGTCTGACAAATTTGAAGTTGGCTACTACTTTTCACAGACAAGTTCTGAAAAAGATATAAGAGACCCTATTTTTATTTCTCACTCGCTGGGTTGCAGCTGTCTTGTGTGTGACAATGTTGACTTTTTGCTTTTAACTATTGAAGCTTTTATGCTCAAAGGAGTATTTGCATTATCTGCTGGTGCTCAAGATCTTGCTAACCATATTTTCACAAGTAATGTTTTCACTATTTAATTACTTTAATATTTATTTGGTATGATCCAAACTAATCAGTAAAATCTCAAAGGATATTCCTAAGATGTTCTTATTGTTATTTTTCATTTTGTTATTTGACATGGAACAATGCTTATTTTGATTAGTATAATTCTTATTCATCAGTATCTTATTATCAGATTAAACCGTACAGAAAGATAACAATTTTGGTATTATACTAGTGATATGTTAATTTTGTCCATTAGAGAATTTTTGGTTTATTCATCTCCATCTCTTATTATTTTCTCCTAATTAATGTTTTTCATTTTATATTTTTTAGTTGGCAAATCACTTATGGAGTTTACGAATGAAAAAATCGAGAAATACTTCTCTGATATTCCAAATAGATACAATGAAACCAAAGTTAGATTTTATCTAAACCTAACATTAGCTCATGCTAATTGGGGTGAAACTGATAAAGCCTCGACATATAGTAAGATGGTATTAGAATCCATGGATACATGCAGCAGAATATTGCAAGAAGAAATATCATACCATTCGACTGCTCTAGACTGGCTATGTTATGAAAAACCATCCTCGGTTGTCTGTGAGTTCTCATTTGTTATTTTACATTTTCCTAAATATGTAGTTGGTTTTTATACTGTTGGAGTTATTTGCAGGAACGGTTCTCGACTTGAGCCCTCGGTTCTAGTCATCCCTCATCGACTGCGGATGTGCAAGCACCTTCTTGCACCATCGGCAGTTGATGTAAAGCCATAGCAATCGTAGTGATTGCGGAGCCTGTGACCAATCATGCTCTGAGGTCAGGTAAGAAATTTACCTGATCAAATTGGTACTACAGGGTATCGCTAGAGCCTTGGCGGCGCTTTGGGTGGACAGCAAGAGTGCTTACACTGCTTGGCCGTGGCAGTCGTAGTGGTCATGTGTTTGCGACTGCTCGCTGTACGACACCAATGTTCAGCTGGTCGTGACTGAGTTCCAGCCAGTTATCTGGTTTCAGTGTATTGACAAGCAGGGAAAAGCTGTAATAGTAGAGCTGCACCTCCCCGTGAGCACCGGTGTGTGCTTCCATCTTAATACTATCCGGGGTGTGAGGCTAAGTTGGGGTAGGTTAAGACCTTCGGGTTAGATACAAGCCCAGCCGGTGCCAGCACCGCATAGAATAGTCGTATACATCGTGTTGGAGTTATTTATATTATATATTACTTTATTACCTAACTGTGCCGAAGCTATTAGGAAGGAGCATTATGCGTTTAAATCGACTACTTATAGGTATGTTACAATGTTTTGAGCAAATGGCTTGTCGAGTTTTCGAGTTTGAAAGCTTAAATTATTTAGTGAGATCCCGTGAGTTTTTTTTTTTTTACAATTAGGATTCAAAACTCTGATAAATTATTTGTAAAATATTAAATCTATCTGTTAAAAGATATGTAACAATTTTTTGAGCGATTCATTCTACTGATTTTTAAGATCAAGGACGTTTTGCAAATTATCTCTTCTATGTTTTAAAATAATTTGATTTTAAAATACTATAAAAGATACTTAATTATATGTTAGATATTCTCAATTTTTGTTGGCTTCATAAAGGTCTTAGTTGTCATAAAGGTTTTATTTGTTTATGTAAAATTAAATTTAGTTTACTTTTCTTTTCTTTTCAGATAAACCCAAGCTTTATAAAGAGATAAATGATAACAGTGTTCAGATTGTAAAAACACCAGAACATGCCAAACCTCTAAGTAGTGCTATGCCAAAGGGATTAAAACTATTTAGTTCCTCTAAGAAGTTTAAAATTCCTGTCTCCCCACGACCTACTATGGTAAAAAAATGTATTTTTGAAGATACTGAAGATTCAGCAGATGAAGGTAATTTAAATAATACAATTATTGTATGAAACAGTAGATTTTAATTTTTTTAGAGATTTAATAAATAACTATTTATTTATATAGTTTCATTAAACTATCTGATAACTATTGCCATTGTCTATTAGGGATGTACTTATTGTCTTTTCTATGTACTGGGTTGATCAGAATTGTTTACCGTTTCTAACCTGAGTTAACATTCATTTTTATGATATAATTTTTAATGAAAAGTCAGGCTTTTTTTGCCTTCTTAAGAATAATGCATTATGGGTCTTAATTGTTTCTGCATACTCCTATATTTCATTGTCTATTTTCTTAAAAAAAAATGGTTAAAATAAATCACTTATGCCATTCTTCTGGCATTTCTTTTCTTCTCAATATATAATTTCTTTAATTATCACCCTAGTTTAGGCCTTTATTTCCATTTAATTGAGGACAGGATGGCCAAGCATTTTGGGGCATACCCTTAAACCGCTGATAAATATATCTTGACATTCTCACTCTTGTGATTATGCGGCGACACCTTGATTGGCAAAAAATGTGTCTCACTTGTGCCAGACTAATTCCTCCCACCAGTACCAGTATCCTCAACTTAATTTGCTTTTTTCCAAGCTTTAAAAGTAGTTATCAGGAGGATTTACAATTAAGTTATGCATAAAATAATTCTTGTTTATAGGCGAAAACCACCTAAAGTTATTATTTAAGCAATGTTACCTCTGAGTTAATAGCATAAACTTTTCTTTCTTTATCAATTCCGTACATTTTCACTTCATTTACATCCCATGAGTTTTATATCAGTATTCATGATTGACTTTCATCGCTACTCATCCAACATGTTTCTGGTCATCCATGTAATCTTTTTTTGTTGTATCCTGAATAGGTTTGGACGACATAGCCTATGACAAATGTTAATTACCAATTATATTAATATTATTGAAAAAAATCATGTGATAGAACCAGATGCATGCATGGGTAACACTTTAAGTCTTTATGGTTCCATTGACTGATTTTCAAATGTGCTGTTAGCAATGAAGTGTACAGTCTGATCTGAGATATAAATATATTACAGTCTTTGACATTTTATGGAAGGAAATTTAGCTTTGATTTATCCTGTAAACGCAGGAATATAAAATGTGATTGGTTATTATACAATTATTAACGAGTTATTGTACATTTGAGGTTTTATGATTTCTTCAGTTGATATATATATATAAAATTTCAAAGGAAGGTCAATTTTTCTTCTTTTTATTAAAATTTTTCCAAAATCTTATTAAAATTTAAGCTTTAATTAATAATTATTTATAAATGAGTATTAAATACTCTCGGTGTATTTTGTCCTGGAAATTTTATATAAACCTAGAATACTTTCTTTTTAACGTATTGAATGGTTCTAATCCCTCATATTATCTATTCTGTTCTAAATATCGTAATTACTTTTATGTTAGTGTATAATTTGCTCATAATCTTTTCTGATTTTAGGACAATTTATTATAAACAAGGAAAATGGAGATGGAAAAACACCTGAAAAGAAAGGAAATAATTTGAAGAAAGACAAAAATACTCTAGCCATCCCCTTGTCCCCTTCACCACAAAATCTGATTAAAAAAACCTTGTGTTTTGATAATTCAGAAAGTAACGTTACTCCAAAATCATTACATTTCTCCTTAGAAACTCCTAAAGAAATAAAAACATACAGCACCAGGGCTAGGAGAGTGCAAACCGAAAAGAAAGCCACCAAGAAGGTCCCTGCTGCGGCAGATTTATTTTCAACTCCTTTTCCAACAAAAACTGTCCCTGGAATAAAAGTTTTCTGTGATGATGACGATGATGTTTCCAAGACGGTTAAACGAAGGGGAAGGCCACCTAAATCTACCACCACTGTTAAGAAAACTGTTAAAAAGGGAAAAAATGTGAAAGTTCAGGAGGGAAGGCGGAAATTGTTTGATAGTGATACTGAAGAAGAGGTCAAAACCCAGAGGCCTGAAAGAAGATTGTTCGTTGATAGTGAATCAGAAGTAGAAAATGATAAAAAGAATTCTTTTACTAGTTCTGATGATTCTGCTATCATTGAGGCATCATTTGTTGAAAACACTGGCATGAAAGTTTGTCTACCACTAACTCCATTATCAACTGGACTGGAAACTCCTCTTAAACAACTGTCAATTAATGATAAAAAAGATAAAATGTTATCTCTTTCAACAAGAAATAAGAAAAAAGTTAAAGAATTGCAAGAAACGCCTCAGTCTTCACTTCGTAAAACATTATTACGAAAGTGAACATTTTTATACATAAGGATGTATTTTATGCGATGTAAATATTTGTTCAGTAAGTTTTGTTCTTAAATTTTAGTATTGTACAAATAAATATTTTTTATTTAATATTTGATTTATGTCATTAATTCTCTTTGACAAAGTATCAATGAAAAATTCCGTTTTGTGAGTTTTAATTTTTAGCACTTATTTATTTTTGCCTACATATAGATCTTGATTTTAGACAGTTATTCATGAATTAAATGTGAATATATTAATAAAAAAAATTAATTTAATATTTGTGATGAAACTAATTTTCATTGTTGGGATTATTTTTTTTTTCTATTATGTCTGTCCATTCATTTACAGTTTGATTACATGTAAAGTCAGTAAATATAAATAGGTAATACTAACCATAACTCAGGCCCCAAACCTTATGAAGTATTACCTCCCAACTTATAAATAATCAACTAATACATCCCTCTTCTTTTCCAAGTGAGACATGATTTTTTCATGATAATTCTACAATATAGTACCATATTTATTTTTTCCTTTAAAAAAATCATTTTGTTTTTAATATTAGGTATCAGTACTAATATCAAAAGTAACAAGTAAATCGCTTTGAAATTACTAGTACAAAATGTGTTGCAATGCGCGCATTACACAACTTTTATTTGACATCCTTCCTTTAGTAAAATAGATATTTTCAGATGAAGGGAAGTGAAAATAAAAATTACGGATGGTACAAAATGTTCTTTAAAACCATTTTGTTGTTAAAAACGATGTCTAATGTTTTATATTTATTCTTTTTTATCACTTACCATATCCTTTTACAATGCTATATTTTAATTATTTATTTGATTACAATAAATAAATAATTAATAATAATAATAATCAATCAATAATTCAGTTTGACTCAAGCCAGTCATTTTTGATTGTTTTTTTTTTTGAGCTGGGAATTTATATGTGAGCTGTATGATGAAGACTTGCTTCTTAAATTTTGTGAAAATCAAGTGAGGATTTTCGCCACGACCAGAAGGTAAAGATGCGCTTGCGGGACCAGACTGCTTGTCCCCTTGCAGACTGCGACTTACACTCCCCTCCACCTCCAGCGAGGTCAGTATTGGAAATCATAAACAGGGAAAAAATGTGAAAGTTCAGGAGGGAAGGTGGAAATTGTTTGATAGTGATACTGAAGAAGAAACTCTGTTCTTGATTCGTCAATCAAAACCAGCTGTCAGCAAAGGAGCCCAACCTATTTTATTGTTAATTAATTTATGTGCTTGATTCCTTTATTTTTTTTTCTCCTCTCTTCTTTAAAAAAATATTTGCTGTAATATATCTTTAAAAATAATATTTGCTGATCGCTTGTTAACTTAATCATTTAAATTAACTAATTATTATTTTTAAAAAAATGTTTATTCAGTTTTACTAATTTATGTATTTATTCTTTTTTTAAATTTTTTGTGCACTTTTTTTCCCTCTCATTATTGTATAATTTGTCATCAGAAAGTATAAGAAAAAATAAGTGAAATGTATAAGAAAAGAAGGGAGAAAACTAGAAATAGAATGTTAAAAAAAAAATTGTTAAAAAGGAAAAAAAATACATATAAAAGAGGGAAAAATTATTTATTATGCTCATATATATTGATAATATTTATGTATTAGTTTTAAGAATTGTCCATTGCACAAGCGGATCCAGAATTTAATTTTGGAGGGCTTCAGCCTGAAAGTTTTTTTTTTCGGTTGACGCTACAGACGTGCAGATCTTTGACCTCGAGATGGGGTCTCCTAGACCACATCCCCATTCCTGATTTAAGTACACTGGAGTAGGGTCATCACTCCTACGCCCAGTCGCTGTGAGTTGCCTCCAGTAGGCTGACGAGCCCAATATACCTGGGGGGAGATCTCGGGCAGTGTGGCTTTCCCTGGTGGATGGTCACCCATCCAAGTGCTAACCACGCCCGGCGCTGCTTAACTTGGTTGCCTATTGCAAGCGCCTTAGCCCGCATGGCTACCCCAGCCCCTATATATATATATATATATAATGATAATTACGTTGGAAAAAAAAAAGATAGATACTAACTACCTATATAAAATGGTATTTAATTGATCTTGAAGTCCTATTAAACGTCATTGCACGAACAATAATTCTTTAAGAGATAATTTTTTCCCTAAAACATGGTTGCATTTTACCATTCTGGGGGGAGGAGGAGGATGCTTCAGCCCGAAAGCCTCTCCCTCCCCAAAGATCCATCTGTGGTCCATTATATTAATCGATAAGTATGCTGTGTCTGTAATAACCAATATAATTGGGTAGCACCCTTTTATGAAAATAAAGTGATTCTCTATTGTGGGTACTGTTATTTGTTTAAGCACTGGTTATGGAAATTTTAATTTTTATATTACCCTAATCTACACAATTAAATATTAAATAATACAAACACATTTAGAAACAGTAATACCAACCATTTATGAAACTGAATTATATCAAGCGCATGTTTTGTATGGAAGCCTATTCTAATCTTTCAGCCAAACCGAGATGTAGCCTTTTAGTTTCTTGAGTCCTCTATTATGATTTCTTATTTTTCTTCTAGTAAATTATCAAATTCTTTCATATTTTATATGCCACCTTATGATGTGAAGTTGTTATTATTTCAAATAAATAAAATAAGAGGTACTTTAGAGGAAGAAAGTTTGACAATTCGCCATTTAAGCCTTGTTTGGCTAAATCAATGAGGAAAAAAAATCTGTGTTACATTAAAAACCACTTAATAGTACATTGACCTAATGAGTTCATTAAAAAATCGTTAGAGCGTGTTTCAGAAAATTGTAAATTCAGTAATATATAGAGGCACTTCCGATTGGTCAATTTTGTGAAAAACATTGCTGTAACATTAGAAACCTTAAATATGCAGTTTCAGTTTTGTAGGACTTATTGCTCTTGAGCTAGACTGTTCACATACATACATACACACAAATCATTTTGGGGGACTTGGTTATTTGGACTCAGAGGACCTCAAGGGGGATGTATTTCCGTTGAAAATTCAGATTTGAAAATTTTCATGATCACAATGCTTTCCCTTGCTATATATAAGTAAGAGAAAATAAAAAATACTGGAACAACTCTTGATATTATATCTACAGCCATACTGCAAAAGTCAGTAAGGACAATTTTGATGGAAAATGATGTTTTGAGCTTTTCTTGTCAATCTTCACCTGGCACAAATTGTACCCAAAAAGTGAAATCTACGGTGTTTTATTTCTTCTCTATGTCTATGCCTATATATGCCTTTAGTAAAATGCTGTAACATAAAAAAAAATCTGGTGCGCGCAACACACAACTTTCACTTACCGATCTACTTTGAATAGAAATTATTTTCTGGCAATGCTGGGCTATTATAAAATTTGTTGAAGTGCATTTTAAACGGAGCTAAAGCTTAAAGCTTACAGACAACAAGTCATTAAGACCATAATAATTACAAAATGTCTATTTAATATACGGAAGACAGGCAATAAAAATCAATTCACTATATCTGATTTTATAAACCACAGAATGACTAACTCCAATTTCAACATTTTTAAGTGATGTCATTTTAGTGATATTTTTAGTTGAAAAAGTTATCTATGCAGACAATGAGTAAGTTGATTCCAGAAGTGGTGATTGCAGTGTTGAAATATAGAACTGAGAATAAAAGTATAAATTTAGGTACTACTTTCTTATGAAAGATGTTCTTAGGAAAGACACTTTATTAAATATCTGTAGAAAAAAGTTTTTTTTAGTCTCAACAATTAAAAAAATATATTTTTAATTTATCCAAATTTTTACCTCTTCAGGGAAAAAAACTAGAGACCATATCTTTCCTCCTAATTATCCGATTTTAACGATTTTTTTAAAGGAAATTCCATAAACTTTTAAAAAATCATCGCGATATCTCTACTATTAGTGCTTTGATTTCGATGAAACTTCTTTCATTTTTTAGGCAATTTCAATATCTTCGAAACATTTTATCACAATATCGACAAAAAAGCGCATACTTTTTGAGTTATTCGGAATTTAATTTTAACATCCCTCGTAACTTTTTTTCCAGCTTCTTTTCGTTGAGGTATGTTATATAGATAAATTTAAAGAGTATCGAGAAAATGACTTTAGCAAAGTTTCATTGAAATCGGTACATCCGTTTAGGCGCTACAGTCTGTAGGAACGCAGGTTTTTCTGCATTTTTATTTTTTTCTCCTTTATTAATTTATCGAATTCTTTCAAAAGTTATATGTAGCATTTTTTCGTAACTCTGAATAATGTGAAATGGTTAACTTTTTAATATAAACCATATTAAAGGTACTTTAAAGGAAGACATATATGAACATTGGGCATTTAAGCCCTGTAAAGTGACATCAACGGGGATAAGACCTAAATGATATTAAAGACCACTTAATTATACAATGATACACCGAGTTTGATCAAAATCGTTTTTGAGAAAATTGTAAAAATGTCTTTCAGCGTTCATATAAAGTGGCACTTCCGGTTAGCCGATTTTAACAAAAAAGTTGCTGTCACATCCGGCCCATATACAAACCTTAAATACTTAATATCAGTTTCGTACTACTTTTCGTTTATGAGCTAGACTGTTAAAACACACACACACACAGACCATTTTGCGACACTTGGTTATTTGAAATCAGGGGACGTCAAAACATGCATTTCCGTTGAAAACTGAGATTCGAAAATTTTCACGATCGCAATACTTACCCTTACTATATATTATTACATATATACGTAAGTGAAAGTAAAAAGTAGCAAATGTGATGCAAACAGTTACAGGTAGGATAGGAGTTTTAGGGCGATAAGTTGCTAGATTATTAAGCCCGTTACAGTGAAGATTGTGTTGTTAACGTAATGAAATGCTCACTGAAAGGTGGTCGTGTAAATATAGAGTATATAAAGCGTTTTGTGCATTGACTTCAGTATCAATTAGTTTTTTCTCGTTTTATTTTTTCTCATACGCTAAGTATTCTTTTTTAAAAATTTCTAATAAGTGGAGGGCACTTCCCGCCCGGCGCCTCTGGGTAAATGCCCGGGTTCCTCTGCCTGCCCTAAGGCCGGCACTGCTTACTATGGCACTAGACGAAGGAAAGAAGAGTGATAAGTACGAATATAATATTGAACGGCCTTTAAAACAATCGAAACCTCCTGGCAATTACAAAATGAGCTTGACTAAAACAAAGCTACAATATCGCCGGATTCCAAATAGCGATAGACAGAGAATCGATTTCATTAATTGAAAAATTTAACACGATACGAAAAAAGAACTTTTGTTTCATCTTTTCCAACCAATGAATCTTCGAAATCGCGAGAAGCTCAGAAACGAAGTAATCTACACATCACCAAGTTACGTAGAAGTTACTACGCATCAAACCGTCAATCAAACCATGTCCGTATGAAATTGAGTACGTTAAAAACGAAACTTTCATAGACCACTCCAACATGTGGGGTACACGCCCCGTTCGAGTTAAATCTTCGTTTTAAGTCAAATGTTTTACAAATTTTTATTCGAAGTGTCGTTTCTCCATATTTTAAAAACTGACTTTGTTCCTGTCATGATAAAATCATTACTAACAAAGTTATGGACGTTACTACAACAAATTTTATTACTTTTACCTATATACACAGGCACGGGCGGATCTACGCTTTCGGGCTGAAGCCCCCTCCCCCAAAATGGTAAAATATAAACATGTTTTATGGAATTTTTTTTTTTTTCAAATACCTCTCAAAGTATTATTGTTCGTGTAATTACTTTTAAAAGGACTTAAGGAATCACTTAAACACCATTTCATATAAGTAGTTAGTTTCTTTCTATTTTTCCAAAGTAATTATCGGTATTTTTATGAAAAAAAAGCTTTCGGGGTGAAACCCCCTCCCCCCAAAATTAAATCCTGGATCCGCTAGTGTACACAGGCGGTTCTACGAGGAAGGAAGGCTTTCCGGCTGAAGCCTCCTCCAAAGTAATAACATGCGACATGTTTTATGGTAAAAAATTATATCTTTAATAATATTGCTCGTTTAATTACATTTAATAGTTCAAGAATACCTTAAAACATAATTTCATATAGGTAGTTAGTATCTTTCTTTTTTCCAAAGTAATTATTGTTATATATATGAAAAAAAAAAGCTTCCCAGCTGAAGCCTTCCCCATGATTAAATCCTGGATCCACTAGTGGCTGTATAATATCTGATTTTTAAAGTAATAAATAGTAAAAAGCTAAAAGTTAGAAGTAATGGCTCTAAAAGATTATTTTACAGAAATAGAATAAAAAAAGTTTATATAAGCATTGCATCTTTGTCTTAGGTCGGCAAACTATGCAGTTTTTTGTCTTCTGAAAATTTTTACTTTTTGTTTTAACAGGTTTTCGCAGTGTGGTTGTTGATAGGTAAGTACCACCTAAAATAATATAATATTAATTGGAAGTGTATAATTTGTTCAATATGGAGAATGAGGAATCAAATAATAAACATGAAGTTAAGAATCTTTACTTAGGAATGAAAATAACATTTTACTGATGTATAGTTGATTTGGCACAGAAAATAAATAAAATAATTTTCTAGGTAGCATATAAAAAATCTATTAATTGTAACATTAAAAATACTAAGCATTTCACAGTGATTATTTATATGGTATAACATATAAGTGTATAACTTCATTCACCTTCATAAAGTTTTCTTGTTATTTGCTAATTTTGTTCCTTATGCATTATAGTTCTGAATAGTGTTTGTGGCTTACTATTCGATTCTTAAAAAGTACCTAATACATTGATCGTTTCCTTTGTTACATTTATAACATTTACTTATCGCAATTGAATATATTTTCTAACATTTGAATTGCTATGAAATCGATGTCTTTATATACTTACAATTAGCACTAGTATGTAATAGCACTATGTAATAACAATTATATTTACTAAATTGGAAATGAAATAGTTATTAATTACTCTATACTGTAAAACAAATTTCGTTATTTAGAATACGAAAATATTTTTACAGATAAACACACATTTTTATGTTTATTACAAAATAAATAAAATATAAAATTATTTCTTATAATTACTAAAAGAAATTTAACTCATATATACACAATACAAAAATATATCACATTTTCGCTTTCCTCACAGTTTGCATTTTAATGGCAATTTGTAATCTGGTCCTTGAAATCAATAGTTGTTTTATAAATTTTATCGTTTATTGATTCAAGGAATAGCATTATCACATTAATTATAGAATAAATACTTTAAATATATGCATATCAACTAAAAAAGTGGATTCAGTCAACAGTAAGCCTATTTCATTACATTAATTAATATTACCTTGTGTGACAGTGAACTTTGGTCATAAAAAGCGTATTAATATATATATATATATATATGGTTACTTATACATTAACATTGGTGTGTGCATATGAACAAAAAATTAACTTGATAAGTTTTTATAGAAATCTCCAACATACACATGATGTATTTTTCTTTTCTTCTGATAATTATCTTCAGTAGTGTTTTTACATGATCAATATTATTGAATCAGTATCAAATTTTTTCAATATATTAACTGAGGATTGTACTCTAATAATTATATTGAGACTTTTGTTAAATATACCACATTAAAAAATATTGACGTTGCCGACAGAAGATTTTGATAAGATTTTCTTTATACAAACTGATATTGGCTTTGGCCTTACAATATTTTCCCTTAACTAAAAAAACTATTACATACAGATAATGGTAAAAAAAAAAAAAATAAACAGTAAAAATTATACAAAAAGTAATAGATATGGATTGTTTAAGTTTCTTTTTTATTTGTATTAGCCTCTATCCTAGAGGGTCATTGGCCATAAACTACATTAGTAAATCAAATAAAGTATTTTAAGTTTTAATAATACAAAATTATAAGCTTTGTAAAAACTTAAATCAAAATTAACATTAATTTATCATAAATTGCTATATATTTTTTTCTCTTTATTTTAACTAATTTTTAATACCATTGATACTGTACTACAGAGTTACTTTTTACTGTTGTCCAAATTAACGGTATATTAGTAAGATGTAACAGTATTAATTTCTTAATTAATTCATATAGAACATGGGTTCAATAAAAATCATTTGCAAATCGGAAAGATAATTGATGTACAATTTATTAAAAATCAATAAATCCTGTGAATCAAAGCCTAGAACCAGTCAGAACAAAGTTAATTTATCAAGATTGTTGAAGTATAATAATATTTGTTAAAATATATCTCTTAATTAAAATTATTATCTTTAAGAGGAGTCACCAAAATATTGTTTCAATAAATAATATAAAGTTGATTGATTAATTTTTCACCATAACTTTTTTTTTTTAATTTTAAACTTTCATTACTGTTGTACTAAGATAATTTGAATTGAATACTTAATGGTTGACCGTCTTATATTTTAAAGGAAGGAGATGGTCTGGGTTGGTGGCCATAAAGAGACTAAAATAGTGGAAAAACTATTTTATTTTATAAAAACTTTTTTCCACTATTTTAGTAGTCTCTTTATAACCGCCATCCCAGACCATCTCCTATATCTAGTAAAAAAAATTAACTAAATTATATACTTTTTATTTAATAAACAATTGGATGTTTATTGAATTTGACTTCAGGAAGTACTGAAGTGTTCTATTCCATTCTATAAGGTCAACATATTCTACATATACTATTTGAATGAATGAAAATAATTTTATTATTCTGGGACTAGTGTCCCTTTAGAACAAGTCACAAATACTGAATATATATTAATATTTTGGTGTGTCCATGAAATACAATTTAATATTTACAGGTTGATTTGGTGTAATATTTTACAATCTGGAGCGGGTAAAATAAAATAAATAATGATTCTCTTAATATAATTAAGAAAGACCCTTCTTATAGATTTAAAAATTATTATTATTTAACAAATTATCATTTTCAATGTCGAAAATATTCAATTTCATAATTGTATTATTGGAGTTATATTAAAATTTTTTTTTCCATTTACCCAATTTTGAGATTAGTATGAATATTTTTGTAGTTTTAACAAACATGAGTATCCTCCAATCCATATCAATGGTAAATCAAGATTAAAAAAAAATGATTTCATGTGTTTTTAATTATCTTCTATTTAATTATGTAATACAAATATTTTTGCTAAATGCATTATGAAGCAGGGCTTCTCAAATTTCCCCTTTGAGGTGTAAGTTTTTGAACATATAGCTAAATATTAGAATGAAATTATTTTAAATATGAGCATTTCCATTATTTCAAAAAATTAGTTTAGCCTTGAAGTAATATCTACCATTTTCTAGCCAAAACAAGATTTGAATGTTTTTTTTTTGTCACAATAAACAAACTAATATCCTAGATCATTATTGTTAATGTTAGATGTATTAACTTCTCGTGTTCAAAGTCTGATACATTTCTATACTGACTTCCGAGTCTGAGTGTTGGAGTTATGTTCTTGTCTTGAGGAACTGATATATAGACATTGTAGCTGATATTAAACGCTTCTTTAGGTTAGTTTCAAAATCATTTTGTTGTTGGTTTAAGTTATGTTTATGAGAAAATCAGAATATCTTAGCTAGAAAACTTGAAAAAAGGACAGCTGAGATTGGAGTGAACAATGATCGAGATTTTAAAAAAATTTAAAGGCCTTCTTCTACTCTACAGTTTTTGACAAAGTAATGACACATAGTAGAAAATTTTGTACAACTTTCTCTGGTGATATGAGTGGTTTAACAAAATTCTCTGTGAATTGTTAACACGTTATAGTTATGTATACTCTTCTCTCTGGAAAAATCCATAGATTTCTAGGAATGGCAGTTATTTCATAATTGATTATTTTGGTTTAACCTGACGAAGTTGATTTCCATAATTATGTTATGATAATAACCCGCATATGGTTATTTTTTGTTTCATGGAATTTTTTTTATTAAAAAGAATTCAACAAAATTGCTTATGTTCAAAAGTATTTTTTAGAGATAAGATTTATAATACTAAAAAGTAATATTAATTTTACTTACTACTACTGTAATCGCTATCTAATTTAAAACAAGATTAATTTCTAATGCTTGTTTTATTGACTGATTTTGGATATAAAAAAAAAAAAAGCTATACCTGGGGCAACTGCAATGGTGAAATTATGAAATAAAATATTTCAATTCAGCAATGATTTTTTTATTTCATGAACTTACATAAATAAGTCATACAATGGTTATACCCCATTGTACTGGATATGATTATAAAATATTCCTTGTCTTTTTTTATTACCATAATAATAAATATTGTTTATTGTCGTTGGTTGAATCTTATTGTTTATTTTTTGTATAGATTGAATCTTACATCTCACTCTCTTTAAACATCGACATTAAAAAAAATATAAATTCAGAAACATATCATAATTTTTAATTGGTGCCCTGAGATACTCCCATGTCTCTCACCACTACACTGAATTAAAGTGGCTCTTACCCTCCATTCGAAGACAATATTTCCTAGGTACATTCTTCTATCAAATCATCAACAATTATCATCCTTCTCACGCCTACAACCTTCTCCAATTCAAATCCTCTGTCCACTCTCTTTCCACAGGATCTCGACCTTCCGACCCTTACATTCTTTCTCACAGATCTGCCTCGTTCCAAAACCCCTTTATTTCTCGCTTTGTTAATTTCTGAAATTCCCTTCCTATCAAAATTCGGCATTCACCCTCCCTACCTACATTTAAAACCATCCTATTCCAATTCCTGTCAGAACCCGCTAACCTTTTATCTAAAATTACACATTATTCATAATGATATATTTACATATAACTCATCACTTAAACACTTACTATCAGATTCAACTTTCTTTTTTTTCTACAGAAACATAGAGTTTATTGTTAAGAAGAATGTAATGTATTTTTTATTTATTTTTTCTGAAAGTGTACATTTATGTTTTACCACTGTACATAGTTATAATTGTCTTGGATAGATTTTTTTAATTTTGTATATAGTATGTTAAACTAATATTTTCTTTACTTATTTCTCTTTATTTTTACTTTTTATGTTTGTTTTTATTTAGGCCAGATATAATATATTAATTTTGTACTTTTTGTTATTCTAAAGGGACTTTGTCCCTGAATAAAACTATTTTCTATTCTATTGTAACACTCAATTTAATAAAAATATCAAAGCAAAAATAAAATTTGTGCTGGAGAATCTACTCTGTTTTCAGGTAGAAATAAATAGAGAGAAATAAAAATACAACATGTGTAGTGCTAGAAAAGGTTTTATAATTTGGGTATGCTAGATGAAAAACTGAGACAACTCAATCTGCATAGCATTCTGTCACCAACCCTATCATGCCTTCACAATTCTCGGGCAGATCTTAGGTCAGAACTCTGGCAAAAAATTTAATGTGAACAAAGGTCTTTACAGAAACAAGTTTTAATAAGGTCAGAGTTTAATGAATAATTTATGCTGAGTTACTCCAGAGATTAAGACAAACAAGAGGAAAGAATATAAGTTTAACAGAGAAAGATGGCCATCCTCGGTTGGCAGTTCATTAAGTCTGTAAGTAAGTAAATCTATTAACAATTAATTGTTTCCTTTATCATAAAGTATGCCATATTAATGCTAGGATGGTCTTTTCAAAGTTTCATTTTTACAACTTAACTTAATAATAGTATTTATGATTCTTTCAGCTGTTGTAAAGTTTTAAAAAAAAGAGATTCAAAACTTGAGTATGAATTTGGATCAATCAAATTATTTTCTGTTTGATATGTTCATGTTGAATTATTATTGTGATATGTGACTCATTTACCACTTTATATTTATTTATGCATATTTAAACAATTGAAATTACTAATTTAACATTTATTATATAATATATTATATTGAATAACATGTTATATTAGCATACTCAAACTCAAATTAGTTTTCAATTTATCTCTTTGAGAACATGATACTAACTTATGATGTCAGTTACTCTTTGATATGAATAGAATGGTTGTAAGAATATATAAGTAATATAAGAAGTTATAAGTTGTAGTAGGAGTAAAAGTTTTTGCCATTGTCCGCTAACTCTAATGTTTCTATTTATTTTACTTTTAGATAAAGTTATGCACAGTCCAATATAAAATATATACATACCTATCTATTATACAATATAAGTTTGGTAACAATTTAAATACATTTGGTGTGTTGTTCTTAGATTAGTCATACTGGCAAAAACAGTATTTTTGAAGAAATGAGTCATTCATGCATTTACTTTGACTTCCATAAGCATTTACTCGACTTATAGTATCCATTACTTTAAAACTATTTTTATGTTTGACTGTTGCCTCAAAAAGTGCTTCTCCTGGTATTGTTTCAAAAAGAATAACATATTCATTATGTCCAAGTTGCTTTGAGAAAATCTTACTTCTAACAGAAACAATTCGATTTACCTTTAATTTAGCACATTTGGTACCATTGACTAGATGCGTTGTCCCATTAACTGCAAGCCCATTAATGTGGTCTAGAACAAAGCGAGCTATTGCCCGGACTGGAGCACTCTCTGTTGATAACATTTTATATTCTGCACATGTACACCAATGCTCAGTTATTCCAGCATTAATACAGGAACGGTTCCAAGAAGCCTCATCAAATAAAGAATGGCAAGTTGGACAACCTCTGGAGCCATTTGTTGCCATTCCCAGTAAATCTTTGAGTGAAAGGTGTAAATCATATGGTGATGTTAGTCGGTCAGCATTCACCATTAAATTGTGATATTTTTCTGGATGAAATTCCTTCAACTTCGGAGGCACCCAGAAATAAATAAATGGCAGCCTTTCTTCAATCCAGCCCACATATGTTTCTCTTATTTTCCCATAACGAATGCCATGGTCACTTAAGAATACAATAAAAGTATTTTCCAAAACTCCAGTATCTTTTAAATCTGAAAAAAAAGAAAGTATTCTGCTATCCATAGCAGATGGTGTATTAACATCATTATGGCTAAAATTATTTAACCAAAACAGTGAAAACGTTAATGCATCTTTAAAAGTTTTTGCAAAGTCGATTAAGTAATCTAAGATGTAATCTGATGTACTCACAGGACCAAGGCAAATATTTAAGGTATTCTTTACCTTAATTTTCAAAAACTTTTCAGCTGCCAACATAAATGGTCTTATGTAATAATCTGTTGGGGATTTTACAAATCCTGTTTTGCGGTAATTAAATGTGCCTATAGAGGGTAAATCCTCAGCATAAGCTGTTACGTAACCTTGCTTAGAAAACTCTTTCCAAATTAAAGGGCAATCATCTATTTTCTTACTATTTGAACTCCAGCAAGAAGCTCTCAATTGGGCCACGGTTAGTCCTGTTAATATAGCCAATAAGTTAGGAAAAGTATTGTCATCAATTTTGTTATATCCCTTGAAATTTATCCATCCATTTTTATCCAAATAATCAACTGTTTTAGGCATTGTACGAATCAGATTGAGCCTGGATATAGAGTCGATACCAACTATCATTACACTGACTTTTTTTTCCTCGATGTAATTGGCATCCAATTTTTTTACAACTGCTTTTGTTTTCCTTACAAAGGCATGCAAACCGGTATAACTTTTTGAGTTCTTTTTTTTTTTTTTAGGATCACACTTGACTTTGATGAACTGTTCTGTTCCAGAAAATGTAACATTACTTTCAAAATTTTCGCACTTACCAATCCTGAAACATTAAAAGTTAAAATCATATAATATACCTAAAAACATTTAAATGAGATGATATATATGTTATAACTATATTATTTATTGAAAGATAAAAAATGAGGGTATTTTTTAATATAATCCAGACTCAAGGAACTTTCTCGCTTATTAGGAAATTTAAAATATTTTCCTATTGCTAATTTTTACACTTATCTTGGACCAAATACATATACATATATTTATAAAGAAAAAAAAGAACCTTATCACAACACATATGCTCAGAAGGATCTCAGATTCAGTTCTTTGTAGGGAAATACTGTTTCAAGGCCAATGGTTTAGTAGGGAGATGATTGAGCCATGATCATGCTCAATTTTTCTGCCTTAATTAATTATTTAATTAAAAACATCCATTTTAAGATTGGTGGTACCCAGGAGGGTTTGGCAAAGTTGATTAAGTAATCTCAAATGTAATCTAATGTAGGACCAAGGCAAATATTTAAACCACTCGTAAGTTAATTTTTTATTGATCAGTAAGCATTATAGAACCAGTGTTTTACTCAACTGAGCCATTGATCCGTTGTCTTTGCAATTTTAAGACTGAAGAAGACAAAATATCCTTAAACACCGTGAGGGAAATTAGGTTTACTTCATTTAATTTAATAGATACGAAAGGTTTAAAATGTTAATAGTCTTATATGCATGACTTACGAATAAACATCGTCAGCTTTAGTATTATAGCTTTTATTCGATGGTAAATCATTTCTGGTGATCAAGGAGTAACAGCATTGCATATCTTTGACATCAGCTATGAGGACATGATTATTTCCTTGCCTCTGCACCTTGGTCAGTGGTTTTCCACATGAAGGAAGCGTATCCTTCTTTATGAAAGCTTTGATGGATTCATGCCATGGGCTGATGTCAGGGATTCTGCAGCTCGGGCTCCACACCAAGTAACCTTCTTTTTTTTCTTCATGGCTTATATTAATATAAGTGAAATAAGATGCTGGAAAAAAAAGAAGAAAACTATGATTTTCAGTAAAAAAACAATTAAAATATTAATTAAAAAATAAAAGGATGATTTCAAAATTAGTTTTTGTGATGAGTAAATCAGATTAATTTGCTTACTAACTTCTATCAATATCTTCAGTCCTTTCGATCAGCTGTATGTAGCCCATGGAAGTGAAGTCTCCAAGCATATACAGAGCAGTTACGAATGTGACCAATATCAAGCATGTTGCAAATTTCAGAAAAGGTTTATGTGAACGTCCATTTTTCTGTCCTAAAAGGAATGATTTAAGATATAATAAACATAATATCATTTTTTATGCATGAGATCACTAGATATATAAACAATAATATATACTGATTACTAGCTTTCTGTTTTGGGAGAAAAAAAAAAACATGAGTTTTTGTGTATTGAAAAAATGAAAAATTGTTTGTGAAAACTAAAACATATAATAAATAAATAAAAACAGAATAAAGGTATTTGTATGTTTCAATATTATAAAATATGGGAACATTAAACAATGAAAAAACAAATCGATGACTATTTTCAAATTTGATTGTACTAAGATTAATTATTTTTCATTAAACAGACAGTTTTATTATTCAATTTAGTAAAGTTTAGACTTGTGTGAATCGAAAGAACTTAGTTAGGTTTGAAAATGGTCACTAAACACCAACTGAGGTGATTGAAGCAGCAAATCTCCAAAAGCAAGTCCTCAAAACCATTGGATAAAGTGGCAAGGGTTGCGATCAGAGAATATTTATTATTATTAACCAGTACCGGAACATAGCCCAATATTAAAAATTGAAAATAACCAAATCTTAGGATTGACTTACAAACATCTGTACTGGCCTATGATGTTAATGAATATTCCTATGATGGGCTCCAAAATAGCTCTGTTTAAAACAGTATTTTTGCCTTTACTTTTGTGTGGTGCAGAGAATTGGATGGTCCTGGACAAATATGTAAGCAAAGCAATGGCCATAGAAATGAGATTCCTCTTAAAAGTTCTTGGGAAAACTGGAAGAGACCGCTGGAGGAACGAGAAGATGAGAGAGGAACTGAATGTAAGGCTTGTAAAAGAAGTCATAGAGGATCGCTAACTGATGTAGTTTGGCCATGTGTACCGGATGGGTGATAACTTAAAGGAAAAATTGTTCCTAGAAGAAAAACCAGAGGGAAGGCGACCTAGAGGCAGGCCCAGGTCGTTGTATTGTATGCATATGCATGTATGCATGGTCGTGAGTACATGGAGGGACCCGTACAAGCCAGAGGTAGCACCATGGTAGATAAGAGGAGGGCCAGTGACAGGAACCAGTGGATGAGATGGGCCGAGGCTGTTCCTCCATGCTGATGGCACTGAGGAGGTGACAAAAGAAGAAGAAGATCCTCCACTTTTATAAGTTCATAAAATTTTAGGAGTATTTTTCCTCCCCATACATGGAACATCATTTTGCTTTCTTTAGTCATCAACCATGTCATGCTTCCATATATCACAATAGGCCTCATAATTTTTTTATATATTACACTTGTTTTCTTTTCTAAACAGATTTTTGCAATTCAGTTACTCTTGTACACTGCGCAGACAGCAAACAGTAGATACTAGAAAATAATAATAACGCTTTTTTTTTTTATATTCAATAAGGATATTTACCTCCAGAAATTAAAAATATCTTCAAAATAATGCTGTATAAAATGTTGTTTAGACTCATTTCTTGTAGATATTTTCAGAACAAAGGACGACAATAAATTTTTCTAAACGTTGATAACGGTTTTCGGTTGGTGAAGGCTTGGCCATGTAATGAGGGTGGAGGAAGATAAGTTGAGGAAGAAAACTTTTCTATAGCCACCCAGGAGGAGTACATCTTAGGGGAAGACCCCTGCTGCAGTGGCTCGAAGACGTAGAAGGAGAATCCTTTAGGGGTGGGGTGGCCGAGTGGGATGATATGATAAAATAATTGAGTCCGCGGGGCCGGTGGGGACTTTTAATCCTTCACCCTTGTGCCTAACGTGAGAAAAACCTGTAGAGCATAAAAAAGGCAAGAAAAGGGAAGACACACAAAAAAAAGATAGAGAAATCTAGAGAAAGCTTGTTTCTGAGATTTTTGAGCAAATTAATACTATTGGTCATGCCCTCATCATGTCTATGAAACAAGCATTTAGAATCTGAGTTAACTAGTTGTAACTAGCCTTGCACTGGACTTAGAGGGAGTGACAAACCTTAAAAAAATTATAGTTTTTATTAATGTTTTTTTCTTTTTAACAAAAGCAAGAAGTTCAATATATGTTTCAAGTGCAAGCAAATTGTGGAATAGGAAGACTGAAAGTGGATAAGCTGGTATTTTGATCGGATAGAGTATGGTAAAATACTTACCTCCAAAAAAATCTAGTTCAATTTTTAAAAAGTTATGCTTAAACAGATTTTTAGTTATTAATAACATTTAGCAATTCTGTCCTCATTTCTCTAAGTGGCAGTAATTTAACATTGAAGATGGATTCATAAAAAAATAATTTACCTCTGATTTCATAATAAATATGTTGAAAGACAGTTAAAACATTGTTACACAAGATGAATAAAAATGAAAGTGACAAATGTTTAACTGAAGTTAGAACTTATTTAAAATAAAAATAAGATACATTTAATCTTAAAGGAGAAGCACAAGCACCAATAATCTCATTTAAACAATAAATTTTAATTACAATCTCATCAAAACAAGGTAGGAAACTTAAAACCTCATACAACTATAACATAAATTTAAGTCCCATTGCTATATGTTTACTCCTTTTTTTTTATTTCTTTTTTTCTCTCTGCCTTTCCTTACAGGCAATATGGGTCGTAGCAGCAGTGGGGTATTACACGGTATGCGTATGCCACTACTGGCAGTATAGATCTATTTGATTAAAATTTTGTTTAACATTATTATTTATGAGATGTAGACTTGTTTGTGTGCACAAGCCCACGTTTTTCCTTTTCTCCATTCTTCCTCCTTCATCCACCTGAAGCCGGTCCTCAAAGCAGCTGCAGCTTGTCTTAACTTCCTTCTCTTCTTCTCAGATTAAAATGTGTAGAGCCTACAGCATCTTTCCACCCATATACAAATTCCTTATAATGTGGGTAATTCTCTCTGCTCATTAGCTGGGGAAACATTCTCTTTGTCAGCGTATATATCCCCGTCTCTCTCCAGAGCTTAGCTCTTAGTGGCTCATAGGCAGTGCATTCGACGACCACATGTTCAGCGGTCTCTGGAAAGTTGCAGTTGGGGCGTAGTGGATCAATATTCTTTCTGTGTTTAACGAGCTTTGCTCGAAAGCCCAAGTCCTGTGAGGAGTTGAGACACCCAGTAATCCGGGAGGACCCATCTTGCATCTAATCGTGACATGACGGTGGAGAAGTAGTTTCTTAGGGTAGCCCTCTTCGGAGTTGCCATCCATCGCCGGTTCCATTGATCAATTGTATCCTCCCTGATAATTCTTTTCCATCTTCTTGGGTTTTCTTCAATTCTCATCTTTAGATGTTCCAGTAGATCCGCCGAACCTTCTCTTTTGATTTTAAAGAGGTAATAATCTTCTCACAGGAGGAGATCGTGAGGTGTCCCTCCTGCCAGTACTTGCACTGCCTCATGAGATACCGTTTAATAGGCTCTAGTGACCCGAAGTAAAGCCAATCTCTGAATCGATGCTAGCCTACTCTTCTGTCGGTGGGAGAGGTTTAGGTTCCAGGCTGGGGATGCATATCTCAGAATACCCAAAACTACTCCTTTGTATATTGTCATTGTATCGTTGAACTTTCGACCAATTTTTATGCCAAGGTTGGTGACAACTTCACTTGGACATACCCTTTCTTCTTCTGTACTCAACAGATGATGTGCCCTGTCAGTCCTGCTCCTTAAGAGAATTGCCTGGGTCTTTGTTGCAGTCATCTTCAACTTCTTCCTCTCGCACCATCTTCCTACAAAACTGGCGTATCGTTCAGCTTCTGCTTTCAGACCAGCTATGCTGTTTGAGGCCACTACGGCGGCCAAATCGTCAACATATGTTTACTCCAACAATATTTCACAGCCCTTATATTTCATTAATTTTGATTGTTAGTTAAATGGAATATCGTACAAGAACATTCGTAAAATATTCTTCAAATGTTCTATTAATCAGCCTTGGCTGAAATTGATAGAGTAATTTTTGAAATATAGGCCTAACAAGGACAGTACGTTTGAAAAATCCTAAGCGAACGTACATATTGAACGTAATGGATAAAATTCGATACCTAATTGATCATTTATTTACCAATCTCAAACTTGTTTATAAATTAGAGTCATATCGAACATGCAGATCTCGGAGATAAAATCGTGAAAAAGACGTTCTGCAAAAATAAGGGGAAATAACCAATTTACAATAATTTAGTAAAACTGATACATATTTTGTTTTTCAATCCTGAACTTTCCTCTCACTTTTAGCGAAATGTCTAGCGGAATTTGGAACATCGGCGTGACTAAGAAAATTCTCTGACACGTGCGTAAACAAAAGTAGTGGATGGAATTTGATGAGACCAATTCAGGCACCCATTCCTTGTAAATAATTTATGCAAATTGAATTACAGTTTGTCCGAAATTGCCCGTAATATTGAGTTGACCATAGATAGACCTACACGGAACCAAATTTGTAACTTGTCTTAAACGTTAACAGCGAGTGGAAATTTCCGATTCTGAGCAAGTTTTTTCTTCTTTTTTTTATTTATTTATTTTTTTGTGCTCATCCTCACGAATACAAAGCTTCTCTAGCTTTGGTAGTGAGGAAGGAATAATAAACAAAACTTAAATCCCAATTTGATAACAAATAAGTATTATTTAACATTTACATGTGATTTACATGTGAAACGAGGATTGTTCCTGCACCAAAAGATTCCTAAAATTTTATCAGCTAATATAAATAAGGTAATTTTACAAACCAAGAAAAATAAAAATATCAAAGAAAAATTCAGGCTATCCATTACCCAACAATAAACATTGAATATTTACTACTACCTTTTGACACTTGTTTATCGCTTGACACATCACTTGGGGAAGACATGGTAACCTTTCTGAAATTGGTATAGACAGGTTAAAACAAATGGTCTTTTGATGTAAATAATTACCTACCCAACAGTGCTATGAATGTAAAAGACTAAATTATTATTAAATCCTTCAAGAGTGAAATCAAGAATTTAACTGTATACGCACCTTTGATTCGAACGATCATACATCAGCATTTAATTTTAACATTATGAGTTGTATTTTAGA